TATCTATCTATGTTTATATTATTATTATTATTATCATAAACGTGTCTTTTGCCATCCCAGTGTTTAAGAGTAGACCAGACTTCTAAATATGGGACAATTATATCTGATGAATTCTTTAAAAAAAGGGTATTACGTTGTCAATACCAGGTGACATTTCTTTTTTTCAATCTGTGTATACTTTAAGTGAGTTCTTCTCTTGAACATGTTGAAATAGGAAAACTAATGTATCAGCAACTAAACTTGCCTCCCAACTGTCTGTTTCCATATCTTCCAGTAAATCTTCACTGTTATTGTCAAAAGAAAATAAGTCTTTAAAATGTTTATACCTGGTATCTATCTATGTTTATATTATTATTATTATTATCATCATCATCATCATCATCATCATAAACGTGTCTTTTGCCATCCCAGTGTTTGCCGTCAAAGAAATGTGACATCTGCTGATTGTAGACTGACGGAGACAGTTAGATGTGATGATTCAGCTCCTGGTGTAATAGTAAAGTCAGTACAGCAATTAAAAAGTTGTGGTGAACATATAACATAATCAATGACACTAGTCCCATTATGACGTACGTACGTAAAATCACCAACATCCGAGTCACAGCCACATCTCCCATTCATTGTGTGAATGTTAAACTGAGCACGAATACAGCAAACACTTGCCGAACTTATTAACAGTAGTGTCACATGAATATCGCCTGATACGAAGATAATCAAGTAAATAGTCCATGAACTTGTGTTCATAGCCATGAATGTGTTCAATAATGTCATCTACAACATAGTCCGGGTCATTGCCTGTGCGGGCATTAAAATCTCCACCGAAAAAGGGTATGACGTCACCTTCTATAATCCAGCAGTATTTTAAGAATATCTTCTTGAAAACGGGAAATACCATTTTTTACTTTCTATTCCTGTATAGTTATACCATGTTGAATTCTCAGGGTGAATATACACTATGGACTATAACACACACAGTACTGATATGTAAGGCCAAATTGTGTCCTGTCAAATAAACTAAATATGCACCTATTAGTATATTTAGTCCATTTCATGTATTCAACATTTCTTAAGAAAACGGTTATTCCACAAGAAAATCTCCCAGTTTAGTATATCTTATCTGCTTCTTATTTAGTATAGAGAAAGCATGTAACAAAGATTCAAGTTCTAGTGCATGTCTTTAATCCATGATCAGTTAGGCCTACCACATCAAACGTGTTCAAGTAGTTCATTGTATCCATGTCCTCCATCTTTGAAATTAATCCTGACATGTTCCAAATAAACAACTAATCTTATCTCCGGTCTCATTATCATGTGTTGTTTGGGACCAAGGATGTTGGTGCGTCGTAAAATCTTCCAGGCCCTGGCCGCGAGCCTATCTCCTCCCGGGGAGACCCGTGAAGATCCGGGGTAGAATAGGTCTTCAGCAACCCATGCTTGCCGTAAAAGGCGACTATGCTTGTCGTTAGAGGCGACTAACGGGATCGGGTGGTCAGGCTCGCTGAAGTGGTAGATGCATGTCATCGTATCCCAATTGCGTGGATCGATGCTCATGATGTCAATCACTGGATTGTCTCGTCCAGACTCGATTATTTACAGACCGCCGTCATATAGGTGGAATATTGTTGAGTGCGGCGCAAGACAACAAAACAACCAAACAACCAGGTTGAGGGGGTTGTCTGTTGCTCCGTCTGGATTGCTGTGCACTCTTCCTGGATGTCAGACCGCCTCCGTGGTCTCGTGGTAGAGCGTCCGCCCGGAGAGCGGAAGGTCCGGGGTTCGATCCCCGGCCGCGTCATACAAAAAGACGTTAAAAGATGGTACTTGGTGTTACCCTGTCTGGCGTTCGGCATTAAGGGGCTAAAACAAGGACTGGTCGGCTGGGAGTCAGTATACTGTGTCTGAGTGGGGTATTCTTGTTAAAACTGCGGCATGGTATCTCAGTGAGCTAGCACTATAAATCGGCATCAGTCCGGACTAGTACAAGCAGCCACACAAACACACACACGTACATGCACGTCGCTATATAAGTGCAATAATCTTGGACGCGACGTTAAACCCCATTTCACCTCACCTCCTGGATGTCGATTACGTTGCTTAGAGTTATAAGGGCCCTGTACTCTATCCGACAAGTCCTGGAACTTCTCCCCTGTCCTTGTGGCTCCATGTGCTGTCTCTCTCCATGAGTTCTTTTCTCTGAAACATTGTCAGATCATTAGCTATCCCGAATCCCATTTCTTTTAGTGACCCCCTCCTTCCAACTGCCTGTAGTCTACCCTCCCAGTGGGTCGACCGTGCGATTACTGGGCTTGGCTTCCCCTCTCTCTTTGACTTCAGCCGATGAGCTCTTTCTATGTCCCTTGGTGTTAGTGGGGAATATGTGGGATCCTTTTCACGAGCTCAGTTCAATACATCAATAGCCTTTCCTTTACACACACTATGTTTTGGGCCGTCATTTTAGAATGGGTCTTCAGCAACCCATGCTTGCCGTATGAGGCGACTATGCTTGTCGTAAGAGGCGACTAACGGGCTCGGGTGGTCAGGCTCGCTGACTTGGTTGTGTATCCCAATCGATGCTCATGATGTAAATCACTGGATTGTCTGGTCCAGACGTGGTTATGATTATGTATAATTCAGCGCAATAATGCAACACAAACGACGAAAGTAGTCCGCTGCAAGGCGGGGAAGAACTTTTCTAAGTTATGAAAACATAAACGCAAACGAATTCGACAAATACAATCACCCGATTACGCGGCGAGTTATCTCTCCTTGTCTTGTCGTATTCTGTAACGCACTTATTTTTTAAGATGTCGTAAGGAAACGTATGCCGCAGGCTCTCATTGAGACCGTCAAAATCATATTATGTTAAATTTCGTGTATTAAATGCATGAACATGTAAACATATACCAGAATAATTATAATACATTTCTATCATCCCCGATAATAAATATTTTACAAATAACTTTGATTGATAACTAAACTTAGATGTAACGCATTATTGTGTACTCAATTTTCGAGAGGTTCTAATCTAAATTATGTTTTAATTAGAAGCATGTTCTGATGACCATGGAATAATATCCAAACTGTGTTTGTTTGCTTTGTTTTGGTTTTTGTGTTGTTTTTGTTTGGTTTTTGTGTGGTGGTGGTGGTGGGGGGGGGGGGGGGGGCCTCTTGCAGGGAACTATCCATCTATTGGTTGCCGGAGAGTACGTAAAATCGGGATATACTCACATCGCGCTGAATGCACAAAGGGAGACAACCACGTTCAGCAAGAAATGCAGCATTTGATGCTAGCGGAAAGTACCTGAGACGACTATTAGCTCGCGTTCGATTTCAAAATCCTGGAACTCCCTGTTGAGGACGTGTTGGCCAAGGCATAACCCAAGTGAGCACATGTTGACGCATTACCGTCATACTGCGGTTGTCTGTTTGTTTTGTTTGTTAGTTGTTTATCGCCGCACTCAGCAATAATCCAGCTATATGACGGCGGTCTGTAAATAATCGAGGCTGGACCAGTCAATCCAGTGATTGATATCATGAGCATCGATCCACGCAATTGGGATACGATGACATGCATCAATTACGTCAGCGACCCTGACCACCGATCCCGTTTGTCGCCTTTTACGACAAGCAGAGTCGCCTTTTTCGGCAAGCATGGGTTGCTGAAGACCTATTCTACCCCGGATCTTCATGACGGGTCCCATACCTATTGAACCCCTGGGATGCGGTACTCTGGTTAGCAGCCTCCATTTTAAGTGAAGTCAGCGTTAAAGTTAATTAGTTTCATTTATTGATTCAGTCATGAATAAATTAATTTTGATTAATATGATCAACTACGTATTGAAAGTATGTATGTATTCTGTTACGCGTCAGGAAAATTTAACTTCGATTGTTGATGTAAATACTTTAGAATCAATACTGCACCTTGGGTGACTTTGCATGTTTGTTGTTCTCCGAGTTATTGTTAACTTTCTTGTCGTTTTACACGCATTCAATAGAAAAAGTGGCGTATTTTATCTAAAGCTGCAAAACCAAATATTTTCAAAATATAAACTGTGTACAGTACCATGAACGTGTCAATAAACGTTTTCTAAAATCAATGATCTACCCTGACAACGATGACGGGTTGGATTGGAATAAGTCCCGAGTAATCTGTATTTGTACTTTGCAGTAACCTATAATTCGTTATTTGAAAAACAAAAACAAAACGTAACAATATCGGGGTTTGTTCTTTGATATAGTGCAGTATCACTGTCACTATTTTAGTGGATACATTGAAAAGAAGCCATCAAATTGTGCATAACAAAATAGTGAGGGAGCAACTATTTGATTTTCAGGGGATGGTGGAAAGGAGATTTTGGGATTAGATCAGCATACACGTATATATTTATTAATGGGAGCTCAATTATTTTTTCCAACGCAAACGTGCACAATTACTTATTAATCAAAATAAATAAATACAACGAACTGTATTCATTTGGAGACTTAAAGTAGCCTGTCGACACAAAGAAAACACATTATGACTTTTTGGTCCTACAATGCGAAGAATATGACTAAAAACGAGACTAAAACAGACTTGATTATTTGTTCAGAGAAAATTCCCCCCACCCCTGAACATCAAATGGTTGCTCCCAAAGCGGAGAAAAATGAAATTTTGTATGTGCATTGTACAGAATATTTTCAATATTTTGTGCCAACATATAATTCCAGATTGCCAGATTATATCTCTCAGTGTTAACTATAAAACTCTTAACATCAAACGTGCCACAGCATACTACGTTCACTCTTCAACTTTCACCTATTTCATATTGTAACGCGTTTAAACATATAAAAGTAAAACGACGACATATGACTTATGAATGAAAGTGTAGTAAAACGGGCGTAACGCTTTACAACGATAAGCTGGGAACGTCGGGCACCTGCTCAATGACCCGGAAGTGGCAATGTTTACCTGTGTTTCCCGCAATGACGTTCAAAATGGTTCTGACAATTTGATTGGATAAATCGTAATGACGTCAGGGGGACCCAAATAGCATAGGCGAACTTTGTATGGGGTAGCCGCGGTGATTTCCCTGTGGATAATCTGCTGTTATCAGCATCATCTTCGTGAATATTACGGTAAGTAAAACATTTTACAAACTATGAATGCTTTTTAGATTACCTGCATCTATATGTCAGGGTTCGATGGTGTTGTAGTTTGTGAATTTGCAGTGTTTTGCGGAAGCGGTAGGAAAGCCCCTCACAACAACCTTCGCCCAATGTTGTGCGACCTACATGGACCTAAACATTCCCGTAATTTTGTAAAATCGTCACCAATAGCTAAACCAAGAACAGCCCTATGCTTATTAGAGTTTACAGAATCAGATTTCCGTATATTAACAAAATCGAGCGTTAGGGTTAGTTTGACAGGTCTGTCAAAATATGTGTCTGTGTGGCTGATTGAAATGGACTCGTCCGGACTCGACGATAAAGTCATCCGGGAAATGTCAAAATTGTGCATCAGAGTTAATTTTTTAGTCAATATCAGTATCTTGCAGTTATTCTTGAACCATTTCAGCACGGGACTGCTGTGATTGTACTGAAATCTGGTGGCTTTTGAGCTACATGCGGATTGTGGAATGCTTCGCAAAATCTCATTCTTTCCCAACGAGCGTATCTGTTCCTTACACGGGTTAATTTTTGATCAAATTCAGTCTTCCATGGTCATTCAAAGATATTTTATTCATTTCCTTGTCCGACTGGGACATTAAACTGCATGATTTGAGGCAACTGTCACGTTTGTAAATATGATTCAATCTACTAAACGGTGAAATGTTTGGTGAATTTTAGCGGGAATGGTTCAATGTGGTGTGGTTATTCAGGAACAGCAGTTTACGATGGACGAGTCCATATTTTCACCAGTTCGAAATGAAGCTGTCATGAAGAACAACGGGTACATATTTTGCTAAAATTTTAAAAATATTGATCCATAAGTACTAGACAAACAGCCTATCACAAAACTGTTTGTTTTTGGTGGGTCGTTCTTATACCCCAGACTCGAAACATAAGCAGATGGGGGAGATAGGTTTTTGGAACAGTTGATTATCCGTAGGGACACAGGTTGTTGTCAGCCATGATGTTTAGGTTATTGTGACTGGCTGCGTGCCAGAAATTTCGACGAGCCAACTTGTCCACGGATAGGATACAATGGATTTGAAAGTTACTAAGGTTTTGTAGTTTTCACGTTTCTTAGTTATTTAATATGTTAACGTCGGAATATTTTGTCCAAACACACGAATAGTTCTCCAATAACGATGTGTATTGTTTACAATGCAAATTTCCGGTGGATTTCCTGCGAATACGACATGTAGTGAAATTTCGAAGACAATTTCTGTTCATTGATATTTTGTTTGTTCTTTAATACCCTACTATTTGTTCTCAGCTGTTCAGTGAAATAACAGACAGAGTGGTGTTCATTGCAGCGCCACTGATAGGTATGAAGTCTTATTTAGGGCTAGGAACAGAAACCGATGGGACCTTTTTCGAAAATATGGATTAATAGCCTACCCATTGTGCTCATAAACTAAGGGTCGTTTTTCATATTGTGATACACATTTCTCATGGTTCGTCACAAATGCTGTTTGGAATTTCTGCACAGGTACTACAACTTAGACGAATGTATCTCAGGTACGTGCAGTCAAGTCCCGTTAATCAGACATGGTTGGTTGCATATGATTATGTCGGATTAACTAATATGTCTGATAAACGAAATTAAGTTGTATCCTTGTTCGTGATCGAAAATCGGACAACTACACAATAGATAACGATACATAATAAAAAATATAAATGAAATATTCATATTGTTATGTTACATTGTTAGCGGAATATGTTTCTAATCATGCAACCTCTAAAGCTCAACTCAAAACGACTGTTAAGGATTGTATGACTTATTCAAGATATTCTAAAAAGCATAGTCTGGAATGGAAGTCGCAAGTTTGAAACTGGTACCGCAAAGCTTAAGAAAGCTTCTTTCTTAGTGGCTAACGTTGACTTCCTGTTAGTCATTTCATTGGTCGGTCCTAGTTCACGACGTGACCTTTAATGGGATGTCCTCGGCGATAGTGAGAACTTGTATCAGATTTTAATGAAATTAAGGTCCTCTAAGCATGTGATTAATCCTGTTTTCTTTATTTAAAGCATTAATTGTTTTTTTTAAGCAAGTTTATCTCTGCAGATGTTGTAATATGCAGCTACCAGCCGACTCATCTCGCATCTAAACACGGGCTGTGTACTCGTGGGCAGAGGAAAACAGTACGCTGATGACTGTGTCGGATTAACGAGACTGATTAATGAGTGATTTCAGTAATTTGTTGCAAACTAGGTGTGTGGGAGTGCGTGACTGTCAGGTTAACGGGTCAAAATAGCACAGATTTAATCGGTTCTCATAAGTGTCGGATAAAGCCGACTGTCGGATTAACATGACTTGACTGTAATTGTATACAACCTGTGAAGATCCTGGTTAGAATAGGTCTTCAGCAACCCATGCTTGTAAAAGGTGACTGGTTGTTGTAAGAGGCGACTAAAGGGATCGGGTGATCAGGCTCGCTGACTTGGTTGATGCATATCATCGTATCCCAGTTGTGTGGATTGATGCTTGTGATGTCAAAAAACATAATTGTATACACATACATACTCAACGGAAAGTTCTTATACAACTGGGGCGGTCGGGTAGCCTAGCGGTTAAAGCATTCGCTCGTCACGCCAAAGACCCGGGTTCGATTCCCGACATGGGTACAATGTGTGAAGCCCATTTCTGGTGTCCCCTGCCGTGATATTGGTGGAATATTGCTAAAGGTGGCGTAAAACCAAACTCACTCTCTCACTTTTATACAACTAAGTACCTCAAGAAGAGAGTCTCATCATGTCTTGTATGAGAACCCCTTCATGATATTTAGGGTTAGGGTAGGCCATGTTTAAACCTGTTGTACTGTACTACACTGCTACGCTAATCTTCAATCAATTATCATACTGGCCCTCTGGTTCACGGTTACAGTTAATGTGCCTGCATGCATGATCATGGGGGTGTGTGTGGATCCAATATATGACAGTGATAATTCGTTCAATAATCAGGTTTGAACATTGATTTGGACAGAATATTGAATCATCATCCAGTTGAGATGTAGAGTTGAGTTTTACACTAATATCTTGGCTATGAAATCTGAACTCGAAGTGATGTGTTGACCATCCATCACAGACTGGCAGCTTGCTAACATAGATTGTACAGGTATTTGTAGATTGAACTCCGAAAGCATCTCCGAGCTCCAGATAATTTTTTAAGCAATTGACTTTTTACTCTAGGGTTTCGACTTTAATTGAGTTATTACATTTTTCATTGGGTAACTAATATTTTTCCACTCATCTATTCATCACTCTATTGGGTTTTTCCGCAAATTAGTGAACATTTTAAGAATAAAAAAATGAAATAATGTTTTAGGTGCATATAACTGTTCTAAATATATAGGCTGGACTCGGAAAGTCAATTAGCTCATAATTGTGTTTCGGAAATTAGCTCCATTGTACGCATGCTGAAAAAGCTTCATTGGGTATTTACAGGTGCTGTTTTTATACATTTGAGTTTTTCATTTAATGCATGCGTTTGAATATTTTGGGGGGTATTTTACGCAAATACGCAGCTTAGCTGTAGCTCTGCATCTTCGAAACAATATCATAACTCTTCACATGTTACTTGCTACGATCTGTACTGTACACAATCAATTATACCGTATTCAACGTAATAAGCGCCCCGCTCTAATAAGCGCCACGGCGATATTTGCTAATATACTGGCTAGTGAACAATCCCAATTGGCACCCCTTCCGATTGATCAATGTACACAAGACTTATTTTTTCGCGTATAATACGCACTCGTGTGTTATATGCACCCTTAATCATTGGCAATTAAATTCTGGAAAAATATATCTGTCGTAGATAATCATTTCAGGCTGTCAGCATAAACCACGAAATTTACGAACTTTTTTCACCAAAATAATATTCTAATAAGAGCCCCCTATTTGTAATTTTGAGAGCGCCCTGGGCGCTTATTACGTGGAATACGGTATATGTTATTCCTTAACCACAAACCATGATCTGGAACAATAACAAGTCAGTTGACTGGCAAACATCAATGTATAATGGTCAGCGTGCAGTCTCGCACTTTGAGGTATCATGATTCGTTGTTTTATCAAGTCCATGATGTTTCAGTTTGCAAACAGAACTAGATTTTGTCAGTGTCATATTATTATGTGATCGAAAACTTCTGAAATTAAGAAGAATTAGGCGGGATTGACACTTCGGCTTTTTTATGTACGCATTATGCTGCATACTTTTTAGTGGTAGGACAATGCATCGGTGGATCGCAATTTTTTACTTCTTGATTCAATTATCGATGTTGGTCGCACACTAAGTAAAAAGTATTGATTCTTGCCTTAAATGTTTTCCTGAGTAAGTGTTACACCAAACTCTAATAACTAGTGAAAATGAGTAGTGAAAACGTAAAAATATTTTCATCCATTGCCCCATACCTGACACTGCCAGCTGTTAATCATTAGTGTGCCAGGTATTTGGCAATCCTGTCTACGAAATAGATGGCTTACGCACCACAAATAAGTGCACATGCAAGTATCGCGATATGTATCGGATCGTGAGCAAGGCATCATCATACGTATCAGATCGCACAGTTCGTGTATCGTCCCACCACTAATAATTTTGGAATTTGTGAGGTATATTTTCTTGATGTGGAAATTCTGTGATGTAGCAAATACAACCACCCCAGTAGGCAAGTCTAGAAACTTAATTCTGTTTGGCTGCCACAGATAGCTTGTCAGGTAGGCTGTTCTGTTCATAGATGTGGGCTTTTTATAGCTCCAAACAAAGCTGATATAGGTCTTACTTTATCCGTTTCAGATTTTAATATTCCAACATAGTGCAATGAAATGATTAATTTTGACAGACTAAATAATCTGTGTCATAACTGATGCAATGGAGAATCTGCTTTGGTTGCATCAAATACCCAGTTTTTTTGCGCCAAGGCAGTGTTCCCGCTGGATTTGTGTTCAGGACTGGCAACTCCAAAAATCACCAGTCCCCACTAATTTTTATCAATCAAAGCTTTCAACAAATAAAGAAACGTATGAAAATTACCTGGTTTTAATTCTTGCACTATCGTGTTCAATGCAATGACGTCATCTCTGCAGTATCTTTGTGATTCACACAAAGTCCAGTCACGAATTTCTCCTTTTTTTAAAAATATTTCGAGACTAAGTCGCTAAAAATATATATTTATCCTCGAGGCAAGGCAAAGTTGGACATTAGACCGGGATTAGGGAAGGAGTATGATGAATAAAGCTTAGACTAGAGGTATTGTGTGTGTTCAAAGATCAATGTTTTGTGGACAATTACTGGTTAGTCATGAGACACATTTGAAAAAGTTTGACATTTGACTTTCTGATTTTTAACAGTGTTGTCATTGTATAGCTTCAGCTTAAACTCCTTGAAGAAATAAATAGGTGGGGGAAAACTACGTGACAGTAACAAATCAACTGGTTTTCACATGTAGGACCTTTGTCTCAATTTCATTGATGATTGATTGATTTGAGTTTGCGACCATTGATTGATTATTCACCAGTTATATTGATTCTATTCAATGCGACCCGTGAAGATCCGGGGTAGAATAGGTCTTCGGCAACCCATGCTTGCCGTAAAAAGTGACTATGCTTGTCGTAAAAGGCGACTAACGGGATCGGGTGGTCAGGCTTGCTGACTTGGTTGATGCATGTCATCGATCCCAATTGCGTGGATCGATGCTCATGATATTAATCACAGGATTGTCTGGTCCAGACTCATTTATTTACAGACCACCGTCATATAGTTGGAATATTGCTGAGTGCGGCGTTAAACAACAATCAAACTAACCAGATCTATTCAATGAATTTGAGTGCGATGCTAAATTTGAGTATGACTGGTTTTCGAACACAAAGGTAAGATAAGCATGATAAGAGAAAGGTTTCTTGGCCAGGTGCTTTTTTACGAGACCGACTGACAAAAAAACCAAATGGAATAAGCATTATATAAACTGAAATATGCAGACAAGTCACATACTGATAGATGCCAATTGAAAAGCACATCGTGCCTAGTCAGTGTGCATGTCGTATGTATATTAGTCGCTGTTTAGTAATTAAAACAATACCGCCTTTCTCACAATGCTAGGTTTTGTAAACAAAAAATGGCTATCCGGAGGAGCCGCAAGCAGACGCAGACGGGTTAACTACTATTCACATAGTTCTAAATGATTTACAGAGATTGTCAAGAAACAGGTGGGTCAAAAAAATTGAATACCCTCTAAATCTTGTGGATACCCAATCAAAATCAAACCCATGGGTAAAATACACAAATAACCAAAAGCTTATCTAGAGCTCTGAAAAACAATCTTTCTAACTTGTTGGTTTTTCATTCATTAATCAGTCCCAATTTTTAAAAAAAAAATTCTGTGGTTAATTTTTGTTGCAGAGTTTGATGGTAGATGTGTAGGGCTGCAACGAATACACTATGAAGCGAATACAATTTGTATCACGAATATACGGAAACGAATAGGAATATTAATTCAAGAATACAATAACAAGTCAGCAGTTGATGTATTTATTATGTTCAGTGAAGCAATAAGAACAAACTATTTGACATGGTTTGTTAATTATTATTTAATATATATTATAAATTTCTATACTGCACTTATCCAGGTGCTAGTATCTGCTCAAATGCGACAATGACCAGTGACCACAATAGTATCAAATTAAATAGTATAAGAGTGTTGTCTTTTGAAGAAATCTATGCATATAATATGTTCTTATGGATATTTTGTGTAAATGCACATGATTGTATGTTCATAAATATTCGATTCTAGTGGCAACGAATAACGAATTCAATTCATGAATGGATACAGTTCCAATCAAGGAATACACGAGTGAATCGTAACAGCCCTAGTGTGGAGTATGGTGACATTCATTCCTCAACTATCTCCATTTTTATAGTGATAACACCCTAGCTCCATGTGCTACAATCATGACAATAGCTTTGTTTTCAGTTCAGATTATGCTCTAAATAGCTGTCTAATCAGGTTACTCGTGAGAACCAGGGAAATTCTGTGCAGAGATAGTGAATATTAAGAGACAATGCTTGTTGTAAGAGGCAACTAACGGGATCGGGTGGCTAGGCTCACTCGATACCCATGATGTCATTCACGCCACTGTGTGGCACAGACTTGAATATTTACTGACTGCTGTCATATTGCTTGACTATTGCTGAGTGCGGCGTCAACAAACAACTATTACCAATGGTTGATTTAGTCCATTATCAATATTTATGACTGGAGAAAATACTAAGTTTTTACTGGGGCGGTCGGGTAGCCCAGTGGTGGTTAAAGCGTTTGCTCGTCACGCCGAAGACCCGGGTTTCGATTCCCGACATGGGTACAATATGTGAAGCCCATTTCTGGTGTCCCCCGCTGTGATATTTCTGGAATATTGCTAAAAGTGGCATAAAAACATACTCACTCACTCACTCTAATATGACGAATAACTTAACAGGCTGGCAGGTGGGCAGGCATTTATTTATTTAATATGGTGTAACTTTAAGTTAGGGCTGGCTATCGATATAATTCATGTCGATAATTGTTAATATTTCTTCAAATCGACGATAATTCCTTTTATCAATCTTTTTTGCCAGGGCTTGTGTAAGTGAGGTTGTTGTTGACAGGTGCTTGTTTTGTTTCAGATCTTACTGTTGGCGGGTGACACACACTACCCTCGTCTTATCGTGTTGCCCTCATCTCATCCATCTCCCACCAAGAGATGATGCACCGTCGTCTCGAGGAACAGGTACGCTTTCACGTCCATACTTGTCCGACCGCCACCGTGGTCTAGTGGTAGAGCGTCCGCCCGGAGAGCGGAAGGTCCATGGTTCGATCCCCGACCGCGTCATACGAAAAGACGTTAAAAGATGGTACTTGTTGTTACCCTGTCTGGCACTCTGCATTAAGGGGCTAAAACAAGGACTGGTCGGCTCGTAGTCAGTATACTGTGTCTGAGTCGGTTATTCATGTTAAACTGCGGCATGGTATCTCAGTGAGCTAGCACTATAAATCGGCATCAGTCCTGACTAGTACAAGCAGCCACACACACACACACACACACACACACACACACACACACGTACAGGCACGTCGCTATATAAGTGCAATAATCTTGGACGCGACGTTAAACAACATTTCACCTCAACTCACCTCACCATGCTAGTCCACCATGGGCAGGAGTCTTCTCTCTTTAACTTTTGATGTTAGGGCAGCGTTAGAATTTGGCACTAGTCCTGTAGTCCTTGCCAAACTGCCCAATAGTAAAGGTATCCTAAGGACCAGTAGAAATTGGCCCATTTTAAGGGTTTTGCTCTATGTTATCATTATAAGGACTAGTGGACAAAAACTGTTAGTTTCTACCCCTGCAGTTAGGGTTATTACATGGACCACTTACAGAGGATGATATTCTGCCCCAAGTCTGAAGCAAGTGTCAGTAAAAAATTCCTAAACTGGAATTACAAATTTACCAAGTAGGTTTGAAGCTAACAAAAATCCACTAGACCGAGACTATTGAAAACAAGAAAGGACAGGTAGATGGTAACTTTGTGGCAGATCATATTTCCTTTCACTTATCCTGCTTATAGCAGAACAAATGTAAGGCTTTAATGTGTAGTTTCCTTTTTTTTTGCCTTTTAGAAATGAAATGCTTGGATTATTTAATGTGCCCCTGAATTTTCAAAAATTGATACTTTTTAAGAAAATTATGGTCTTTCCTTGACTTGTCAGTGTTAGAAATTGGCACTAGTCCCATACTCCTTGCCAAACTGCCTAATAGTTAAGGTATCATAAGGACGAGTAGAAATTTGCCATTTTTAAGGGTTTTGCTATATGTTATCATTATAAGAACTAGTGGTCTATTAGACAACTGTTAGTTTCTAACGCTGCTGAATCCTGGTTTGCCCCAATTATGTTTCTAGGTTTGTCAGCACCATACCTGTGCTCGTGGGTTACACTGAAGTGGTAAACTTCTTAGACCTGCATCACTTCGGACTGACACGCCGTGATATAACTGGAATACTGTTAAAAGCAGCGTTAAACCCAACTCACTCACTCTAACGCTGCTTGTCCTCAAATTTGTCTTAGTTTGAAAATCCTAGACAGGGGTACACACAGTTGGTCAAATCCAACGAGCCAGCAGCTAGATAAAGCCCTGACTTGACTTGGATGCTTAATTTCAAACAATGATATTGTATTTAATGAAACATTTTGAGTTCTTTGACCTCAAATATTTTATCAGAAAACTTAAATTTCCAAAAGGATCCCTGTTTAATTTGGAAGAATGCTAGATTATGCCCGTGCTGTACTGAACTATTCCCAGGTTCTCTTTAGGAGTCTGTGTAGGTCTGTGTTAAATAGCCATTCATCTAAAGCAATCTGCCCCTTGTAAACAGTATCCTTGTCAAATGTATTATCTGATTGTTTTGATAGTTTTTATTAATAATTCACCATGATTATAATTATTCAAGTGAGAGTTAAAAACAGTTATTTCCCAAGTGTTCTGTAACCATGGTAACCATGGTGATTTTGTAACAGATTCATTTCTCAAAAGGCAACTGCAAATGGCTGTAAAAATTCTCATTTTGAAATTAAAATGTTTTAATTGAAGGTACTGTAAGTTGTTAGCAATGTTTCACCATGGTCCACTGATCGCTTGAACCATAACAAGGCCCTGGGGACACGACAGGCCCAGTCGTCTAAGGCGCCGCGATTCGCTGTGCAGAGTTGCGTCCCTTGGGCACGCCAGAAACCTATGATTGTGGGTTCGAATCCCGGTTTGCCCCAATTATGTTTCTAGGTTTGTCAGCACCATACCCGTGCTCCTGGGTTTCACCGAAGTGGTAAACGTCTGAGACCTGCATCACTTCGGGCTTTCCTCCCACATTAAGCTGACACGCCGTGATATAACTGGAATACTGTTAAAAGCGGCGTTAAAAACCCAACTCACTCACTCACTCACTAAGGCGCCGCGGTTTGCTGTGCAGGGTTGCGTCCCTTGGGCACGCCAGAAACCTATGATCATAGGATCGGAAACATGGTTCACCCCGATTATGTTTCTAGGTTTGTCAGCACCGTACCCGTACTGGTGGGTTTCAACAAAGTGGTAAACGTCTGAGAAATATTTCACAAATTTCACAAGTCTCGAACTAGACTTATGCTAATACTTTAGAAACTCTACATTGAATGCAGTGATAGAATACTTAAGCTTCAAGAAACAAGGACTTAAACAAATACAATTTTAGGATTAAATAATATTTGTTTTGTCTTCAATTTGCCTGTCACGGGTACTGTGTTGAAAATCCTAGTTATATTGCTTCCTTTTCTAATTACAACATGTACAAGGAACAAACTGTCATCGTTGATCGCCATGACGATGTATCGGTAATTTTTGTTGTTGATGTTGTATCGATACAAATTTATGAGTATTGATACTATTAATAATTTATAATTCACAGTCACCATGGTCACAGAACTTTTAGTACATGAGTCCTTATAATGATAACATATAGCAAACCCCTTAGAAATGGCAAATACTGGTCCTTATGATACCTTAACTATTGGGCAGTTTGGCAAGGGCAATGGGACTTGTGTCAATTTCTACCACTGGCAACTTACAATTTTAAGCACTTAATGAATCAGCCTCGTTCATATGTGGCATTAAATTGATTAATTGCAGCTCTAAGTAGGCAACGTTTATCTATGCATAAACAGAATAATTATTGTGTTACTAATTGATATGACAATATCATGCATATGTTCGGTTGAATGCTAAAATTTTCAGTCAATGACACCCTTGCTCATTGCTTGTTTTTCTTTTTCAGCGGAGAGTCAATTCTAACGAATCGTTTCCAAGAGTTGTTGCCCCTAGCGGGCCTCGGTACGGGGAGGTTGCCGAGAGTCTAAATAGCGCCATGCAGTTCCCCATCCCGGGATTTACTACAACGTGAGTTTCACACAGATTTCTTCTTGGCTTTTAGTATTTGCATTTGGAACAGGCCAATTAACTTTGTTTTGGAGATAAAGACATCAGATATGCTTCTTCTTGGTCGGGCTCAATCCTTGGCTTTACTGGACGAACATTATTGCATCCTGGGCAGTCGGGTAGCCTAGTGGTTAAAGCGCTGGCTCGCCATGCCGAAGACCCGGGTTCGATTCCTGACATGGGTACAATGTGTGAAGCCCATTTCTGATGTCCCCACCGTGATATTGCTGGAATATTGCTAAAAGCGGCGTATAACCATACTCACTCACTCACTTATTTTGTCCTTACGCATAACCAGCTTTCGAATTTACGCTATGCCGCTAGCCTGTGACAACCAGAATGTGGTGAGGACAAGTATAAATCAAGTGATGTTGACCCTCGTTGACTAGAATCATTGAGGCCAATTCTCAATGCTTCAGTTTTGCTACAAATAAGAACTGAATATGAATAATCTGACAGAAAATATCTGATGGGCGTATCTTACAATGACCTTCAAATTTGACTGGTCAGTGAGCTAGGTGATGTTTCATCCCGGAACACACTCAAATGCAAAAGTTTTAGAATTGAGAAAGTGTTCATCCAAATGTGGATACATTTTTATCCCCGCCCAACAAAGTTTTGTTTCCGGAGCATAACTCAGGAACCGTTCAATATTTTTTCATGAAACTTTGTAGGTCTGTGTAGTACATGCTGAACTGGTGCCTTTTGCTATTTAGAAATTTTAGTAGTTTTTATTTTTTTACGTTTCCATGGCAACAAGATGGACTTAGGTTCCAAACTCTTCTTTTTTTTACAATTTCCATGACAAGTTCCACCTCGGTTAAAAAAGGTTAGGGTTTGTTTAGATTTAATTATGTCATAAATTCTGCAACAGGGGCGGAGGATATAGCCACGAGAGTGGCAAACTCTTGTTTATATTAAAAAAATTCTCTCAACTGGCTGACTGGCTGAAGTGTCATACGCTGTATGTATGAAGATTTCTAAGAATCTAATCGGGGGGTAGAATAGGTCTTCAGCAACCCATGCTTGGCATAAAAGGTGACTATGCTTGTCGTAAGAGGCGACTAACGGGATTGTGTGGTCAGGCTCGCTGACTTGATTGATGCATGCCATTGTATCCCAATTGCGTGAATTGATGCTCATGATGTCAATCACTGAATTGTCTGGTCCAGACTTGATTATTTCCAGACTGACGTCGTTAAGCTGTAATATTGCTGAGTGTGGCGTTAAGCGACAAACAACTGCTAAAGCATGTAAAGAATCTGCTTTGTTTATAGCGTGTGCATGGCAAAAATGTTATATCTCAGTATTACATTGTAAAGTGTTCCTCCGCTACTTGGAAACAAGGGTCACTGTGACCTGACATTTAGTCATTTTATCTTGAATCATGTGCTGCCAACATGACAGGGATCCTTGACTCATGCTTATCTGCTTGTTGTCCAACGCTTATTGATGATATTGATTAATTAGAACTACATTAGCAACGTTAAAAAATGGCACTAGTCCTGTAATCCTTGTAAAATTGCCCAATAGTTAAGGTATCATAAGGATTTTGCAATAATTTATCAGTATAAGGACTAGTGAATTAAAACTGTTAGTTTCTACCGCATATTAGGAGTTGTTAGATTTCGCTGCCTAGTTTGTGCTGAGAACAAGTGAAAATCCAAGTGCTTGTCATACGAGGCAACTAATGGGATTGGGTGGTCAGGCTCGCTGACTTAGTTAATGCATGTCATCGTATCCCAGTTGCATGGATTGATGCTCATGTTGTCCAACACTGGATTGTCTGTCCAGACTTGATTATTTACATTCTGCCGTCATATAGCTGGAATATTGCTGAGTATGGCGTTAAACACAAACAAACAAACAAAACAATATGTCACACTGAATTTAGATGATACATACAAGTGAGTGTGAACAATTAAAATAAGAAATCAGTCAAGATGGTAACCACTGGTCTTGCTAAGAGTTTAGAGTCGATCTATCGCTGATTTCAAAAGCTGTGCCAATGTGATTTGTTTCATTCCCAAACTAACACTGGTTCACCATTTAACCAATTTTACTGGTCCCTGAAGCTGAAGAAAATGTACTAAACACAGTTCGAGCGGTGCATGAGAATTGCGACTTTTATATTTTTTAGCCTAACGATGATATTTTTGTGTTCCAGGGTGAATCCGAACGTCACTGGCGGTCACCACACCCAGTCTGTGCATCATGCGTTGCCAGGGATACAGTCAGCGCCCGCCCCGGCGCCACAGCCGCACCCACAACCTGCCCTTGCTTCCGCCCCACAACCCAGTGCACAGGTTGTGTCTGACATCTTTGTAAGTAATATCCCTCGTCCCAATCCTCTGTTTTGTAACCAATAAGTTACAAGTGGTCCCATCTTGTGGGATTGCAGGTTAAAATAGGTCCCGTCTCTTGGGATTGCAGGTTGTCTTATTCCAGACCCACTCTGCGACGGTCCCTAGAATGTCATGCATTACGTTGTTGTCTTATTCCAGACCCACTCCGCGGCCGTCCCTAGAATGTCATGCATTACGTTGTTGTCTTAATCCAGACCCACTCTGCGGCCGTCCCTAGAGCGTCATGCATTACGTTGTTGTCTTATTCCAGACCCACTCTGCGACCGTCCCTAGAGTGTCATGCATTACGTTGTTGTCTTAATCCAGACCCACTCCGCAGCCGTCCCTAGAGTGTCATGCATTACGTTGTTGTCTTATTCCAGACCCACTCCGCGGCTGTCCCTAGAGTGTCATGCATTACGTTGTTGTCTTAATCCAGACCCACTCCGCGACCGTCCCTAGAGTGTCATGCATTACGTTGTTGTCTTATTCCAGACCCACTCTGCGGCCGTCCCTAGAGCGTCATGCATTACGTTGTTGTCTTATTCCAGACCCACTCTGCGGCCGTCCCTAGAGTGTCATGCATTACGTTGTTGTCTTATTCCAGACCCACTCTGCGGCTGTCCCTAGAGTGTCATGCATTACGTTGTTGTCCTAATCCAGACCCACTCCGCGACCGTCCCTAGAGTGTCATGCATTACGTTGTTGTCTTAATCCAGACCCACTCCGCGACCGTCCCTAGAGTGTCATGCATTACGTTGTTGTCTTATTCCAGACCCACTCTGCGGCCGTCCCTAGAGTGTCATGCATTACGTTGTTGTCTTATTCCAGACCCACTCTGCGGCCGTCCCTAGAGTGTCATGCATTACGCTGTTGTCTTATTCCAGACCCACTCTGCGGCCGTCCCTAGAGTGTCATGCATTACGTTGTTGTCTTATTCCAGACCCACTCTGCGGCCGTCCCTAGAGTGTCATGCATTACGTTGTTGTCTTAATCCAGACCCACTCCGCGGCTGTCCCTAGAGTGTCATGCATTACGTTGTTGTCTTATTCCAGACCCACTCTGCGGCCGTCCCTAGAGTGTCATGCATTACGTTGTTGTCTTAATCCAGACCCACTCCGTGGCCGACCCTAGAGTGTCATGCATTATGTCGTTGTTGTCTTATTCCAGACCCACTCCGCGTCCGTCCCTAGAGGGTCATGCATTACGTTGTTGACTTAATCTAGACCCACTCCACGGCTGTCCCTAGAGTGTCATGCATTACGTTGTTGTCTTAATCCAGACCCACTCTGAGAGTCGTGTTTACTGTTATTGTTGCCTTATTCCAGACCCACTCCGCGGCCGTCCCTTGAGTGTCGTGTTTACTGTTATTGTTGCCTCATTCCAGACTCACTCCGCGGCCGTCTCTAGAGCGTCGTGTTTACTGTTGTTGTCTTATTCCAGACTCACTCCGCGGCCGTCCAGGGTCAACAACAACAGTTTCAGCGCCTCAAGGTCGAGGACGCCCTGTCCTACCTGGACCAGGTCAAGCTGCAGTTCGGCAACCAGCCCCAGGTCTACAATGACTTCCTGGACATCATGAAGGAGTTTAAGTCTCAAACGTGAGGGGGACTTAGTTCTGTTACTCGACTTGAAAATATACTGCGTAAACTTGCAATATCCGTGTGTAACAGTCAGGATCCCAGACTGCCTCTGTTGGTCTGGAGAGCGACAGAGAAGCATGCACACACACACACACCACATGTTTAAGTGAGATTTATTACAGTGATAGATTTGTGTGCCAAAGTCCCTGAAGAATTCATGATAGACTAAATTTATCTTTTTGTTGGGTGAAAAATAAATCATTTTGGAAAATGTGTGATGGTCATACTGCTTTTGAAAAGGCCTTCGAGTTTAGTGTCCCTCGTCTGTATGAAGCCAGGGTGCACGGATGGCCCAGTCGTCCAAGGTGCTGTGATTCTCTGTGGTGAGTTGCGTCCCTTGGGCACGCCAGAAACCTATGATTGTGGGTTCAAATCCCGGTTCTTCCCGATTGTTTCTAGGTTTGTCAGCACCATACCCGTGCTCATGGGTTTCACCGAAGTGGTAAACATCGGAGACCTCCCACATTAAGCTGACACACCGCAATATAACTGGAATACTGTTAAAAGCAGCGTTAAACCCAACTCACTCACTGTATGAAGCTAGTATATCTACTGCTAGGACTGATGATGATGATGATGATGATGATGATGATGATATGAATTCAGGATCGACACACCGGGGGTCATCAATCGAGTGTCCAACTTGTTCAAGGGTCACCCCGACCTAATTGTCGGCTTCAACACGTTCCTACCCCCGGGCTACAAGATCGAGGTCCAGTCGGAGACCATCAACGTCCACCAACCCGGCCAACAGGTGGTCTCCATCTCACAGGTGGTGTCGGCGACCACGCCCAACCTGCACCAACCCCCTCCTCCCCCTGTGAGTCTGACTGACTTGTTTTCAACATTGGCAAGTTGCCGTCCCATGGAGGTACTACCGGTATATCGGTTACCACCATATGTGTATGTGTATGTGGCGTACCGGTATATTGAACATTTTTTATTTTTTTATTTGATTCTGTTTTTTCTGTGAATTTGATATGTGTCATAAAATTCTTCTGCTGGCAATTCTTAAAAAAATCTCTTTTCATATACATGAATAGTTTTTATGGAATTGGCACTGTAACTTTTGCCAATTTTTAAAAAATTCTTAATGAAACCAGATCAGTTTAGTTTCTTGTATTATGGTCTTCCTTGGACAATATGCAAATGAGGCATATTTAGTTCATTTTATTTCCTTAGTTTGGAAATATTGTTACTCTCGTGAAAAAAAGATCTTAAAATAATATCATAAATAGAATATAATAAGAAAAATGTGAAAAATATGCATATTTGTCATCAGTTTTAACAACTAAAAAGAATTAAGGGAGACTGATTAATAAAACAAGAAATTAAATTGGTCTGGTCTGATTTGGAATGAAATATTATATGTTTGTTTATCATTTACTATGTAAACACTATAAAATTACATAGGACTGAAGCTCACAATATATTGTGGTATTTACATGCTATATTGTGGTAATAAATGCTATATATAAGAATATAATCTCCTTAAAATCAGATCTTTTACTCCAATACCTCTGTGTGACGATCTGAGAATACCTCCATGGAGCTTCTCGTCTATTTAAAGAATCGTACATTGGTTATTAAGCCAATCAGATGTCAGTGTTCTTAAACAATCTTCAAAACCCAGAGTACGTGAATATTCCTTTGATCGTCCTTCCTTCAAGTGTAGAGCCAGTGTGTATTAAGTATCCACAACTATAAACAGGTTGGCTTTTATTATTTGCAGTTGGAACAGGCCAATTAACTACGTTTTGGAGATAAAGACATCAGATATGCTTGTCTGAATGCTTCACTCGTATTGAGAATGTAGATACTAAATTTGAGGCTCAGGCCTCAAAGTTGCGACTAAAACGGTCACCAATGCAACCTAAATTTCAGTTTGTCTACTGTCTAAAATTCAGAGGTAGCCAAATGACTACCTGAAAAATATCTTGTGGCGACTAAATTCTATTGCTACACGTCAGTAGACACAAAAATAAATAACAGCTGATCTTGGAAAACACGTCTGCTAATAATTGTACTCTCAAATCATTGCTCCTCAAGTCGACAATGAACCGAAATACATAAATATTAATGTAATTAGTACTTTATTGAAGTTGACAACGCTCATTGGATAAGCAAGGATATATACCTATATAATCTCGTAACATAAATTGTATCATTGTTCGAGTCACAAGTAACAAAAATCAAGTATAGTTACCACTAAAAAAAACAATTCCAAGACAAGTGCTATAACTTGTACATATTTTAACAGTTAGATGATAAAAGATAATTTCAAATGTTTTTGGCTACCTACAATATTGGCTTGACTTATTGATTTTACCACTGGCTACCTGGAAAAAAAATACTTGTAGCCATATGGCTACTTGGTGAAAATTTAACTTTTGAGGCCTGAGGCTGGTTGGCCGAGTTGAAAGTTCATTGGAGTAAAAGCATTGATTTTGAGGAGATTAATGACGATTAACATGTCAATACCTTAATCCATGGTCTTCATATATTTAGTTCATTTTGTATTAAACTTTGAAATATAGGGTGACAATGAATTTGACTCGCGAAAGCTAGATACAGAACTGGGGCGGTCGGGTAGCCTAGTGGTTAAAGCGTTTGCTTGTCACGCCGAAGACCCGGGTTCGATTCCCGACATGGGTACAATGTGTGAAGCCCATTTCTGGTGTCCCCCGCCGTGATATTGCTGGAATATTGCTAAAAGCGGCGTAAAACCAAACTCACTCACACTAGATACAGAACTTTTCACCATTGTTATTTAAATTCCAAGACACTGATTCCGGCAGGACATAACAAAATCCAAAAACATGAAAAATTAAATCCGATAGAGTGAATACCACTGTATATTGTGACAAACTGAATGCCTCTTTGTTGATGATTAACGTTTCTGATTTAAGTAATGATAAACTCTTTCTATGCTGCCAGTAACATCTGACACTACAGTAATAATGCATAAATGAATGAGGTCACTTCATCGTCAATACTTCCCAGGTAAACATACTTCATTCCTCTGTCAGCTGGGAATGCAAACGACTTTGCAGGGTAGTCGCTCCTTTTAACCAATGAATCAAAACACGGTGTGGTTCCAGTGAGTGTTCAAATCAATGAACACTCAAAATATAGATATATTAAATGACTCGTGAAGACCCGGGGTAGAATAGGTCTCAGCAACCCATGCTTGACGTAAAAGGCGACTATGCTTGTTGTAAGAGGCTACTAAGGGAACCGGGTGGTCAGGCTCGCTGACTTGGTTGATGCATGTCATCGTAACATTTGGATAGATCGATGCTCATGATATCAATCACTGGCTTGTCTGGTCCAGACTTGATTATTTTCAGACTGCTGTCAAATAGCTGAAATATACAACAAACAAAAAATAAAGGCGTTATACAACAAATGAACGAACGAACAAACAAACACATCGTATACATATCTGCACAATGTATTCACAGTTGATAGAGGTAGCCCCTGAAGAATTGACGATGCAGTAACTTGTTTTTAGGGGGTATGACAACCACATCTGTTGTCTGTTGCAGAAACCCCAACCTCATGTCCCAACCCCCCCGGCTAGTCACAACCCTCCCCCCTCACACCATTCCTACCACCAGTCACCCCGGCAGAACCCCGAGCCTACCCCAGCGGCCCCGCCCCCTCCTCAACCCCCACATAATCCCCCCACCCCCCAGCAGCAGCAGCAAGCCAGTCAACCCGTGGAGTTCAACCACGCCATCAACTACGTCAATAAAATCAAGGTGAGACAACTCTGCTTGTTTGGGGGAAAAAATGCTTAAATGCTGTTGAAGTCATGACAAGGCTTGTTTTAACTATATGAAATATGCACTAGTTTTGTAACTTAATAATTCAGTTCCGTAGAAAAGGCGGCTATGCTTGTTGTAAAAGGCGACTAACGGGATCAGGTGGTCAGGCTCGCTGACTTGGTTGATGCATGTCATCGATCCCAATTGCGTGGATCGATGCTCATGATATTAATCACTGGATTGTCTCGTCCAGACTCGATTATTTACAGACCGCCGTCATATAGCTGGAATATTGCTGAGTGCTGTGTAAAACAACAAATCAAACAACCAGTTCCGTAGACATAAGTTTATAGCCCTGGCCGAATAAATTTTGGAAATATGGTTTAACATATACGTGACCCTTGAAGATCCAGGTAGAGAATGGGTTTTCAGCAAACCATGCTTGCTGTAAGAGGCGACTATGCTTGTCATAAGCGGCGACTAACCGGATCGGGTGGTCAGACTTGCTGTCTTGGTTGATGCATGTCATTTTATCCCAATTGCGTGAATTGATACTCATGATATCAATCACTGGATTGTCTGGCCCAGACTCGATTATTTACAGACCACTGACATATAGCTGGAATATTACTGAGTGCGGCGTTAAACAACAAACAAAGAAATAACCTAACATACACTTGTGCAAAACTTTATTTGAAAACGAAAATTGTTTTATTTCAGAATCGGTTCCAAGGACAGCCGGAGATTTACAAGCAGTTCCTGGAAATTCTTCACACGTACCAGAAGGAGCAGAGAAATCTGAAGGAGGTGGGGTCCTTCCAGGTACGATTCTCCCGGATAATCCACAGACTAGTAGCTAGTGAACTTGGAAGCAGCCGACTAGCCCTGTAATGCTTTATTGTTCAGTGTATCATATCTCATTTTATAGTATACTCCCCAGGGAGCTGAGAATGATTGAGTGCACACTGATCCATTGACCAGGGTAATAAGTTTCTAAGCGCTTAGAGCACGCTTATGCATGGAGTACAGCACCATATAAATGGATTACTACTACTATTGTTATTGTTATTATTATTATTATTATTATTATTATTATAATATAGCCTGCCATTCTCTGCTGTGTTTGCCACATAAATAATACACTATTTTTATCTGCAAAAAAAGACAACAAATAAGACAAACAAATCTGAAATGTCTGTTTATACTTTTTATTTTTCCATCTGCCACGCAGATTGATTCCAATAAGATCAGAATAACACAAGAAGTCATAATCATAATAAAGATACCCTGATTTCATCCCAATTCCAAATTTTTCGACCGGTGAAGATTCGGGTTAGAATTTGGTCCTCGGCAACCCATGCTTGTCCTCAGGTCACAACTGCGCTCTTTGTAAGAGCAGGCTTGCTGATAGTGTGTCATCGTTCCCCATCGGCATGGATTGTTGCTCACAATATCAATCACTGGATTGTCTGGTCCAGATTCGATTATTTACAGACCGTCATCATGGCTGGAATATTGCTGAGTGAGGTGTTAAACAACAAAGAAACAAATCATTCCAGTATGCACAGCTAATAATAGTCTCTTTAATAGTGGTAAAATCGACTGACTATGATGCTGAGAGCCAACTTGATTCTGTAACACTGGGACTATTTTGTGTGTTGTAGGGTCTGGTGCCCCCCGGTTACAAGCCGCTGACGGAGGCCGAGGTCTACTCCCAGGTGGCCAAGCTGTTCCAGAACCAGGAAGACCTCTTGGCCGAGTTCGGACAGTTCTTGCCGGACGCCAACGGATCGTCGTCCTATCTGGCTGCCTATGTCAGTGTGAGTATTTGTCTTCAGTATCTGTCCGTGTTCTTCCGTCTTTCTCCTCACCACTGTGGTCGAGACGAAGCCAAGTCCGAGGGTCCTTAAGTTTGCTGCTGTACGCATTGGGGGATCCTGATTTATTTAAGTCATGGCAATATGTCTCACACATGCTTCAATAGACCTTGATTTTTTATGTGTCTCTAGAATAGGCCTTGATTTTGTATGTGTCTCTAGAATAGGCCTTGATTTTGTATGTGTCTCTAGAATAGGCCTTGATTTTGTATGTGTCCCTAGAATAGGCCTTGATTTTTTAAAGTGTCTCTAGTCTAGATTGGACTTTGAATTTTGATGTTGGTACTGAAAAGGCCTTGGGTTTTGAAGTGTGTCTTGAATAGGCCTTGGATTTTGAAGTGTGTTTTGAATAGGCCTTGGATTTTGAAGTGTCTCTTGAGTAGGCCTTGGATTTTGTAGTGTCTCTTGAGAAGGCCTTGGATTTTGAAGTGTCTTTTGAATAGGCCTTGATTGATGAAGTCGAGATTGAAAAGGCCTTGGATTTTGAAGTGTCTCTTGAATAGGACTTGGATTTTAAAGTGTCTCTTGAATAACTGGAATACTGTTCAAAGCAGTGTTAAACCCAACTCACTCACTATATCCTGGTGAGGGATCCTTGGATGCATATTGGCGAAAACCGACTTTGTCTTCACTGCCAAATTAGTGGGATCTTCTTTAATCTGATTAAATATCAATATGTTAAGGTTATCTTAAACATCATCCATAGTTTTGAAGATTCCTCCCAGCTACAGATGTAGTGACTACATGGTGGATATGTTGAATGTTAGATATCAATATGTATTTGCATCAAGGCCGTAGTTAACTTTCTTTGACAAGGGGGGGGGGGGCAAATCACTTGTCCCCAACTTGCATTTTCATGATTCAAATAAAGCTATTTTCTATAAAAATCCAGGGGGGGGGGGACTCTCACAATACAGTGTTAAAAAGCCTGAGGAAGAGGTTTTAGCGCTTAGTTTTTTAATATTGCATTGAATGCAATCTCATACTACAGTGTTAAAAAGCCCGAGGAAGATGTTTTAGTGCTTAGTTTTTTAATATTGCATTGAATGCAATCTCATAATACAGTGTTAAAAAGCCTACGAATTTAAGAAAAATAATATTAAAAACAAATTCAAATTGTGAATAAAATATTATTTTTTTCCCCAAAATGCATGCCAGGGTGCCGTTGTACAAAGTGATCTTAGCGCTAAGGTGGTCATGACTCCCATACCTTAACATAGACTTATGACAGTCGTAGTGCTAAGGTGGTCATAACACCCATACTTTAACATAGACTTACGACAGTTGTAGCGCTAAGGTGGTCATGACTCTCATACCTTAACATAGACCTATGACAGTCGTAGCGCTAAGGTTGTTTTGTACAACAGCACCTAGATAAATCCCTGGTGATTGTTACTGTAAATGTTTCTACTAAAATGCATGCAATGATCTTCAATATGTGTCTGTGTTTGTTTCAGTGTGGTGAAAATTTTTTTCAGAATGACTCGGCGTTTAGTATTCGTAATGACCACGCTTCCGCTGTCAAGAAGCCCGGTTTCAGTAACAAGAACCAGTCCGGGAAGACGAGCCAGATAAAACGCCCCCAGTCAGGTTCCGTGCCACCAGCCAAGGTAGGCAGAACTAGGCGCTTATGTCGGTCCCTCGCTGTCAATTAGGGGCGGTCGGGTAGCCTAGTGGTTAAAGCGTTCGCTCGTCACGCCGAAGACCCGGGTTCGATTCCCGACATGGGTACAATGTGTGAAGCCCATTTCTGGTGTCCCCCGCCGTGATATTGGTGGAATATTGCTAAAAGCGGCGTAAAACCATAATCACTCACTTGCTGTCAATAAGACGTCTGAGTGTTGTTCAACTTGTGGTCGATTTGTTTCCTTTTGGGGGGGATTCTTTGGAAAGAAAAAAAAGCGGCGTAAAACCATATTCACTCACTCACTCACTCCACCCTTGCCGAATTAGACAGGAATAATGGAGTTATTCTTTGCCTGGACTAACCAGTCTGTGCATAGTCCAATCAAAAACGTGAAATGATCCGATACTGTGCAGAGTTCTGTCGATTGCCGTATTTGTAAAGCATGTGTACCGCCAACTTGGCGTTGACAGATTTTTTCCAAATCCTTTCATCTTATTAATGAAAGTGCTCACGTGATTTGAGTAACTTTGCGAAGTACGACCCGTTTTATTACAATATAGATCTTGATTATCGATCTGATCGTCTTGATTGGGGTGCCGCCATTTTGTTTGAAGAAAATACAAATGATGTGAGAGGTGGAATTTGATTGGTCAGTAGGAGGGACATAGAAGGGACATAACTCGTAAAAGACACTGGTGGCGCTACGATCGAACCCAGAAATTCCAGCCTAGTTCGGCAAGGGTGGAAACAGGACTTCTACAGTCAGTAGATCCTGTGTCTCAGGAAGATAACGATATAGATTTGGGTGTTCTGACTCCGTGACTCGGTTATCCTGATAGTGAGGCATCTGCAACCAAAAGGGGGGCACGGGTGGCCCAGTCGTCTAAGGCGCCGTGATTCGCTGTGCAGAGTTGCATCCCTTGGGCACGCCAGAAACCTATGATTGTGGGTTCGAATCCCGGTTCGCCCCGATTATGTTTCTAGGTTTGTCAGCACCATACCCGTGCTTGTGGGTTTCGCCGAAGTGGTAAACTTCTAAGACCTGCATCTCTTCGGGCTTTCTTCCCACATTGAGCTGACACGCCGTGATATGACTTGAATGCTGTTAAAGCGGCGTTAAACCCAACTCATTCACTCACTGCAATCAAAAGATCAACATCTGCCAAAGTCAGGTACCAAAACATACGGCAATAGGTTATTGGTATAGAACAATCTGCCACAAAAAAACCCCAGAGAAACAGAAAATCGAGTAACTTTAAAATCAAGGTCTAAGCGCATTTGAGCAGTTGTTAATTGGAAAATGTGCTATTCAAATTATGAATTTATTTAAAACTCATGCTTGACATTTCTGATTGTTTGTCACTGGTTCAATATATTACTTACTACTCGTTTAATTACCCCCACCCCGGTGTTTTTTTGTTGTCAAATATTGCAAAAACAATTTAAATTAGCATTTCACGTTCACTACTAAAAAGAGCTGTTATGAACATGTGTCTGCTAAGGGTGAAACAATACACCGATATCCCGATGCATCGCAATAGTTGATCCACGATACGGTATACGATAAACGTGGGCCCATTTATCGATATGCCTCGCTATTGTGCCTTTCAATAAACCGCTAAATTGGTTATAGCGCGCGGTAACGCATGGCTCCCCAAAACGTACTTACATTTTTAATAATCCTAGGTTCCTGCCATGTTTTTCTCCATCTCAATCAGCTGATCACCGCAAGCACATAACACCAGAAATACCAGTCAGCAAATTTTAACTGAAGTACGCAATTCAATACCATTATTATACTATCTTGTTAATAAAACGTGTTCATTGTATATGTGGACATGTGTTTGTAATATATTTTATTAAGTTTATTCAAAATTTCATTTAATATTGTTTTCATTAAGTTACGCTTTCAAAATGCTACGCTTGTGGTTCTTATAATTTTAAATATATATATAGTAAAAGCTGCAACTAAAGTAAGACGATATTGGAATATATTATTCCTGATAAAACAATAATTTCAGATACAATTTCTTGGACCATTCAGATTCTTTGAAGTTGTATAACTGGTGGAGTACATTAATTATTTTCTGGTGTTTGAACTTTGAATTTTTTTGAAGGAAAGTTAGAGAAAGTTGCACTTTGAAGCTTAACAACTTCAGTAGTCTTGTTATTATAAAATAATTTTGAATGTTCTAAAATCTTGAAAGGTTCAATCTTGGTATGCTTGTTTATTTTTTAACATTGCGTATCGTAAAGTCGTATCGTATCGTATCGAGATGCGTATCGTATATTGACCTTCTTGTATCGTTGCAGCCCTAGTGTCTACAGCTAGGTCTTCCTTTCGAACCTACTCTATTTACAGTCGAGACGTGCGTATCGCGATATATATATTGTGACCTATGTATCGTGATATGTATCTTACCGTGACCTTGCTGTTTTGTTTCACCCCTAGTTGGCTGCCGCTTTTGACAATACTCCCTCACGCTAGCGGACCGCCTCTGTGGTCTAGTGGGAGAGCGGATGATCTGGGGTTCGATCCCCAGGCGCGTCATACCTAAAGACGTTAAAAGATGGTACGTGTTGTTACCCTGGCTGGCGTTCGGCATTAAGGGGCTAAAACAACGACTGGTCGGCTCGGAGTCAGTATACTGTGTCTGAGTGGGGTATTCATGTTAAACTGCGGCATGATATCTCAGTGTGCTAGCACTATAAATCGGCATCAGTCCCGAATAGAACAAGCAGCCACAGACACACATGCATGCATGTCGCTATATAACTTAGTGCAATAATCTTGGACGCGACGTAAACCCCCCATTTCCCCTCCCTCACACAAACTGTACTGAAGAGTCATGTGGTTGTGCATTTGTTTCAGAAACCGAAGACCAGCCATTTAAAGGATGTGTCTTTGGCCGAGGCTGGGAAATATGGAACTCTCAATGAGTTTGCTTTCTTTGATAAGGTACGTAGCAATTAGCAGGCATCAATGTTGTGCATAGTTTGGATGTTTCCACTGGAAATTCCTGAAATTTGATCTACAAGACTACAGGAGAGTGATGCTTAAGACAAGGTTATGTTTCTGAGGTTAATATGTCCCTTTGACCAACCAGAAACCCCGCCCCGATTATTTTGCGTCCCTGTTTGTCAGCACCATCTCCATGCTCGTGGGTTTCATTGAAGTGCTAAACATCTGACATCTGCATCACTTCTGGCTTTTCTCCCACATTAAGCTGACACGCCGTGATATAACTGAAATACTGCAATTCACTCACTGACTCTAAGATTTATAAGAAGGGGCCCAACACATTTTCAGGTGCGGAAGGCGTTGCGGCATCAAGAGGTCTATGATAACTTCCTCCGATGCCTCGTGCTCTTCAATCAAGAGGTCATATCAAGGTCAGAGGTCGTCCAGCTGGTGCAGAATTTCCTTGGGTAAGTTTTGAGTACACGTATTTAGTTTCCAGGTGGGGATTCTGGCTTAGAATTTGACTCTAGTAACGTATGCCGACTAAATAGATCAGGTTGTCAGACTTGTGGACTTGGTTGCTAGCGTGTCATCGTAACCTGACCACATAGGCCGTTGCTCAAAGTAACAATCACTGGTTAATCTGGCCCACATTTGATTAATGTGAGATGCTTATGATAAAATGCAAACCTGTTGTCTCACAGACGTTCTGTGCAGGCTTGACAACTATACAGGAGGCAATATTGTGAAAATCATATCACCAATATGATTGTATATATACATATATAGGCTATTCTTCCTCTGTATTTATATGAGCATATTGTTTGTTTTTCAGCAAATTCCCGGAGTTATTTAAATGGTTCAAGGACTTCCTCGGGTACAAGGAGTCTGGTGGCGCCATTGAGTGCATTCCTCAGGCGGTGACGTCCAAGGAAAGAATCAGTGGGGAACTGGCTATGGAAATAGGTGAGACAATGTTCCATGCTGGCGCCATATCGGTTTGGTGAGACGGTGCTTCATTCTGGCGCCATATCGGCCACATGAGATAATATTTCATACTGGCGCCATATTAGTTAGGTGAGACGGTGCTTCATACTGGCGCCATATCCGGCAGGTGAGACAATATTTCATACTGGCGCCATTAGGGCTAGCTGAGACAATGCTTCATACTGGCGCCATATCCACCAGGTGAGACAATATTTCATACTGGCGCCATATAGCCACGTGAGACAATATTTCATACTGGCGCCATAACGGCCAGGTGAGACAATATTTCATACTGGCGCCATAACGGCTAGGTGAGACAGTGCTTCATACTGGCGCATATCGGCCAGGTGAGACAATATTTCATACTGGCGCCATAACGGCTAGGTGAGACAGTGCTTCATACTGGCGCCATGTTGGCCAGGTGAGACAGTGCATCATACTGGCACCGTATTGGTCAGGTGAGACAATATTTCATACTGGCACCATATCGGCTATATGAGACAATATTTCATACTGGCACCATATAGGCCAGGTGAGACAATATTTCATACTGGCACCATATCGGCTAGGTGAGACAATATTTCATACTGGCACCATATCGGCTAGTTGAGACAGTGCTTCATACTGGCGCCATAACGGCTAGGTGAGACAGTGCTTCATACTGGCGCCATATCGGCCAGGTGAGACAATATTTCATACTGGCACCATATCAGCTAGTTGAGACAGTGCTTCATACTGGCACCATATCGGCTAGGTGTGAGTGTTCATACTGGCACCAAATCGGCTAGGTGAGACAGTGCTTCAGACTGGCACCAAATCGGCTAGGTGAGACAGTGCTTCATACTGGCACCATATCGGCTAGTTGAGACAGTGCTTCATAGTGGCACCATATCGGCCAGGTGAGACAGTGCTTCATACTGGCGCTATATCGGCTAGTTGAGACAGTGCTTCATACTGGCACCATATCGGCTAGTTGAGACAGTGCTTCATACTGGCGCTATATCGGCTAGTTGAGACAGTGCTTCATACTGGCACCATATCGGCCAGGTGAGACAGTGCTTCATATTGGCGCCATATCGGCTAGTTGAGACAGTGCTTCATAGTGGCACCATATCGGCTACTTGAGAGTGTTCATACTGGCACCATATCGGCTAGGTGAGAGTGCTTCATACTGGCACCATATTGGCTAGTTGAGATGGTGCTTCATAGTGGCACCATATCGGCTAGTTGAGATGGTGCGTCATAGTGGCACCATATCGGCTAGTTGAGATGGTGCTTCATACTGGCACCATATCGGCTAGTTGAGACAGTGCTTCATAATGGCACCATATCGGCTAGTTGAGACAGTGCTTCATACTGGCACCATATCAGCTAGTTGAGATGGTGCTTCATAGTGGCACCATATCGGCTAGTTGAGACAGTGCTTCATAGTGGCACCATATCGGCTAGTTGAGACAGTGCTTCATACTGGCGCTATATCGGCTAGTTGAGATGGTGCTTCATACTGGCACCATATCGGCTAGTTGAGATGGTGCTTCATAGTGGCACCATATCGGCTAGTTGAGATGGTGCTTCATACTGGCACCATATCGGCTAGTTGAGACAGTGCTTCATAGTGGCACCATATCGGCTAGTTGAGACAGTGCTTCATACTGGCGCTATATCGGCTAGTTGAGATGGTGCTTCATACTGGCACCATATCGGCTAGTTGAGACATCGCTTCATGCTAGCGCCATATCGGCTAGTTGAGACATCGCTTCATGCTGGCGCCATATCGGCTAGTTGAGACTGTGCTTCATGCTGGCGCCATATCGGCTAGTTGAGACATCGCTTCATGCTGGCGCCATATCGGCTAGTTGAGACAGTGCTTCATGCTGGCGCTATATCGGCTAGTTGAGACAGTGCTTCATGCTGGCGCTATATCGGCTAGTTGAGACAGTGCTTCATACTGGCACCATATCGGCTAGTTGAGACAGTGCTTCATGCTGGCGCCATATCGGCTAGTTGAGACAGTGCTTCATGCTGGCGCCATATCGGCTAGTTGAGACATCGCTTCATGCTGGCGCCATATCGGCTAGTTGAGACAGTGCTTCATGCTGGCGCTATATCGGCTAGTTGAGACTGTGCTTCATGCTGGCGCCATATCGGCTAGTTGAGACAGTGCTTCATGCTGGCGCTATATCGGCTAGTTGAGACAGTGCTTCATACTGGCACCATATCGGCTAGTTGAGACAGGCTTCATGCTGGCGCTATATCGGCTAGTTTAGATGGTGCCCCAAAAAATTCTGTAATTTACCGAAATTACTCCGTGAATTGCAAGTCTCCTCTGCATTGCCATAACATGAGTTAATTACCATATAACATGGAGTGGGAAATTTGTAGTTCCAATTTGGGATTTTGTACAGACATTGGCTGAATATCGGCCTCTGAGCAGATGGAGATGATTCCTTGAAGATTTAGATGAATCTGTGTGTGGATAGTTTGGTTGCTGACAGACTCATGACGGGATGTTTGATGTTTCAGACTTTGCTACGTGTAAAAGATACGGAGCAAGTTACCGAGCATTACCCAAGAGCTACCCTCAACCCAAGTGTTCAGGACGGACGGCATTGTGTCGAGAGGTACGTATGGAATCAGGACGGAATACAAAACAAAGTCAACTTAAATAAGTCCATGATGATCCAGTTAGGATGTCTAGGTTAAAACACGTCTCCTTGGTTTGCTTGAAAATGTAAAACTAGAGTCGAGGAAAAGACGAAAAGCCTGAGGTCTTTTCCCGAGCTCATGGTTTTACATTTTCAACCCAAACCGAGGAGGCGTGTTTTATCCAACTTATGAGCCGTCTAAATGCAAGAAATACCAGAAAGAAATCAGAAAACATTGACATACCTTATGGTGCAACAGTGTATCGCTGAAAAAAGGAATTCGCTAAAAGCGTGCGTGAGAAAAAGCATGTGCAGCATGGACTAGCTGGATAATTTGAACAACTCGCGATGCACCAATGTATCGTTTCACCTCTAGTTATGATATCCATTCTGTTATGATAAAGACCACGGACCCATTTGCCACCAATGTTTCGTTTTGGAAGTGACATGACATCTCATCTCTCATCATTATGTTAGCACAGAATTTTTCTGGCTTGTATGTGTAATTTGGTTGGAATACCTTTAAGTGAGTAATGGCTTTTTTGGGGTATGTTATGCAGATTCGCACTGAGCTGGAGCTTTGGTACATGTTTCTGTAAGTTGATACACGTTGTTTCAGGTACTGAATGACACTTGGGTGTCATTCCCCTCGTGGTCGGAAGACTCGACGTTCGTCACGTCACGGAAAACCCAGTACGAGGAACACATCTACCGCTGTGAAGATGAACGGTTTGAGGTGAGTCTTCCGTCTCTGAACCAGGCTGCAGTAGTCCAGTGTCAAGGTCACACTACATGTCAAAGGTCGAAATTACTTTTACTTAAGCATTGTTCATTATGGACTCGGTTTGCCCCGATTATGTTTCTAGGTTTGTCAGCACCATACCCGTGCTCGTGGGTTTCACCGAAGTGGTAAACGTCTGAGACCTGCATCACTTCGGGCTTTCCTCCCACATTAAGCTGACATGCCGCGATATTAACTGGAATACTGTTAAAAGCGGCGTTAAACCTAACTCACTCACTCATTATGGACTTTGAAAAAGGTTGCCCACTTAACCCTGCAAATGTGGGCCATTCAGAAAATGTGATGGCCATTAAGTCATATGATTTTCTTGAACTACGATTGGCTTCTACTGGCTTTGTGGACCAATAACCAAGATGATATTTGATTATTTCTTATGTAGTATGCAGAGTACAAAACCGCGATACGGCTCCATACAAATCCACAAAGGAAGCGCTCGTACCATGTTCAATGTAATGCAGTATTTGTGAGTGCATGATTTGGAACCTTAAAGAGGTTACAGTCAATGCACTAAATCAGTGTGAAATACTTCTGGATGTGGAAAAATATGAACTTAAAGATAATGACCAAAGTAAAAATAAATCTCAATTTGCTTGCCATCTTTGGCAGGTTATTTTGGAATCCTACATAAATCCTGCTGCGTTTCTGTCCTCAGCTGGACGTTGTGATCGAGACCAACTTGATGTGCATACGGGTGCTGGAGGCGGTGCAGAAGAAGCTGACGCGGATGGCCCCCGAGGATGCTGCCAAGTTCCGACTTGATAACACGCTAGGAGGGACGTCGGAAGTACTTCATCGGAAGGCGATACACCGGTCAGTCATCCCTCTGTAGTGAATTATTTCATGTCAATCACTGGATTGTCTAGTCCAAACTCGATTATTTACTGAACGCCGTCATATCGCTGGAATTTTGCTGAGTGTGGCGTTAAACAACAAACAAACAAAAGATGTCAATATTTCAGTCTTCAAACATCTGGCAATGTCAGCCCAGATCTTTTGTTTTCTTTCCTGATTTCCTTTTCCTGTTGTTTTCCAGGATATACGGAGATAAAGCGCCAGATATTATTGATGGTCTGAAGAAAAACCCTGTTGTGGCTGTTCCGCTTGTTTTACGAAGGTTAGTACATGAAAAGACTCTTCCGTTAAATACTATTCTAAATGAGTAAGATAGCTGCAGTATCTGTCACTGGAAAGTTACAGGATAGAATTGGTCCTCAGCAGCCTATACTTGCCGAAGAGACATCTTTGTCAGGCTCGGTGACTTTGATTATGTGTCATCGTACCCGATGGCTTGGATTAAGGCACTGGTCTGGTGCAGACTTGATTATTTACATGCTGTTGGAATAGTGATCAGTGTGGAGTAAATTCCTCGTTTGGTCAAGAAGGGATTATTTTGGCACATGTGGAAACCTATTGTTGCAGACCCCTGAAGATCCGGGTTAGAATAGGTCTTCAGCAACCCATGCTTGTCATAAGAGGTGACTAACAGGATGCATGTCATCGTCTTCCAATTGTGTAGATTGGTGCTCATGATATCAGTCACTGGATTGTCTGGTCCAGACTCGATGATTTATAGACCGCCATCATATAGTTGGAATATTGCTGAGTGCGGCGTTAAACAACACACAAACATTCAAACCTTTTGAAGCCCTGAAGTCACGTGACCTGTCTTGACCAATCAGATTAAAAGCAAAAGAAGAAGAATGGCGTGAATCTCAGCGAGGCTTCAACAAGATCTGGCGCGAACAGAATGAAAAGTACTACCTCAAATCACTGGACCACCAAGGAATAAACTTCAAGCAGAACGACGTGAAGGCAATACGATCGAAAACACTGCTCAATGAAATAGAAACAATATATGACGAGGTAAGAAGAAATTACTCTTGTCTGTTTGACTCAGACCAAAATATGTCAGTGGTCCACTGGAACAGCACACAGATCTAACGGTCCTGTTGCAGGGGTTGATTTAACTGTTGGCCCATTGGCCCGTGGCCAGTTAAAATTACACAGGGCTTGCTGAAACGTAAAGTAGATGGCCCGTCAGGCTTGTCAAAATGTCACCCCTTCTCTGTGTATGTTTTATTTTTTTAATTTAATCATCTCAAAAGAATGATAGCCGGTCGCAACTTCTTTATTTGCTCTGAAATCACCATGAATCGAGGCAATTGTAGCCAAGATATTATGATTTGTTGATGGTGTGAGTGTTGATGGTGTGAGTGTTGATGATGTGAGTGTTGATGATGTGAGTGTTGATGATGTGAGTGTTGATGGTGTGAGTGTGGATGTGTGAGTGTGGATGTGTGAGTGTGGATGTGTGAGTGTTGATGATGTGAGTGTTGATGATGTCGTGTGTATTTCAGAGGCAGGAGCAGCTACCGGAGGTGACGGGGGAATCGGCGGGAGCACATCTGTCCTATACATATAAAGATAAATCCATGATTGATGATGCTGCCAGTCTTGTTATCCACCACATGAAACGCCAAACAGGTTGGTCAAGTTGAACACAATTGCCCGTGAAGACCCGGGGTAGAATAGGTCTTCAGCAACCCATGCTTGCCTTAAATGGCAACTATGCTTGTCGTAAGAGGCAACTAACAGGATCGGGTGGTCAGGCTTGGTTGATATGTCGTCGTATCCCAATTGCGTAGATCGATGCTCATAATGTAAATCACTGGATTGTCTGGTTCAGACTTGATTATTTACAGACTACCATCATATAGGTGGAAAATTGCCGAGTGCGGCGATAAACAACAAACAAACAAACAAATCCAAAGAACTTTCATACATTTCCCAACAATCTCCTGCTCAGGGATTCTGGTGGTCAAAAGTGAAATCCTGGTTAGGATAGGTCCCCAGCAACCAATGTTTGTCAACAATCAGCTCAAACTGATTGGACTCAGTGGTTGGATGCCAGTTATTGTACCCTAACTGTTGGAGTGGTGTTCATGATATCAATCACTTCGTTTGTCTGTTTGAGATTGATCCATTACTTACAGGCTGGCCTCATATAGCTGATGATGCCTACTGATACTGATTGTCTGACAGTCGTAATGGAAACCTTGCTCCACCATGATGGTGATGACACTATTTGTCTGACAGTCGTCATGGAAACAATCCTCTATGTTTCAGGTATTCACAAAGAGGACAAGCAACAGATTAAACAGTTATTACTACACTTCATTCCCGATCTCTTCTTCATGCCACGCGGAGATCTCAGTGACGACGAGATGGACAGAGAAGACGGTAAGGGGAGAGCACCTAAGTTCTGTAGCAAGAGTTCTGCAAAGTATTTTGCAGTTCTTTTAATTTCAATTAGTTGGATGTAAATTGTTGAAATGAATAAGATCACAGATATTTGATTCATGACCCGTGAAGATCCGGGATAGAATAGGTCTTCAGCAACCCATGCTGGCTGTAAAAGGCGGCTATGCTTGTCGTCAGAGGCGACTATGGTTGATGCATGTCTACGTATCCCAGTTGCGTGGATTGATGCTCATGATGTCAATCACTGGATTGTCTGGTCTGATTATTTACAGACTGTCGTCATAAAGCTGTTATATTTCTGAATGCGGCATTAAACAACAAATAAACATCACAGGGTAAGAACCGGCAACATCAAAAGTTTCCTATTCAAACAGATTATGACTTAAGATCCTGGCAGGCCTTGCTTTTGAAATATTGAATTTGTAAAAATATTTCATCTGAAAAGTCCTTGAAATCCATCTTCAGTCAATCTAGGCACATGTACACTTAAAATATTCATATAAAAATCCTTTGGGCAAGGGTGGCCCAGTTGTTCAAGACGTCATGATTTGCTGTCCAGAGTTGCCTCATTTGGCCCGGCAGAAACTGATGGTTGTGGGTTCGAATCCCAGTTCGCCCTGATCATTTCCAATTTTGTCAGAGTCATACCCGTGCTCATGGGTTTCACCAAAATGGTAAACATCTAAAACCTGCATAATTTCTGTCTTTCTTTTCCTCATTACGTTGACACGCTATGATATCACTGGAATGCTGTTCCAAGCGGCGTTTAACTCACTCATACAAAAATCTGGTGTTTTTGAGTTAAAAATGGGGAAAGGCTCATTCTATCAACAAAACAAAAATTGCAAGATTTGATAATTACCATCATGTTGTGTGAATAAAACGAATGTATTGGACTACAGACATGGAGACGGACGAAGGGGACAGGAACGACCAGGTCCACAGGTTCGACATGAACTTCATCTCCAGCAGTGATAAAGAGCGCACCATCCCTGACAGGAAGGAAGATCCAGTGACGATGATGGAGAATAATGTTGTCAACCAACCCAAGAAACCCGTAGTGAACGGAACACTGGCGTATGACGAGGCTGATGGATTAGATGTGAGTATTTCAAACCTGCAGTCAATAGAGCCAACTTCTGTACCGGATTTGCAAGGGGCGGTCGTCTTTTAAAGCGTTTGCTCGTCAAGCCGAAGACCCGGGTTCGATTCCCAACATGGGTACAATGTGTGAAGCGAATTTCTGGTGTCCCCTACCGTGATATTGCTGGAATATTGCTAAAAGTGGCATAAAAACTCACTCACTCACTCACTCACTCACTCACTCACTCTTTCCTTCGGAAAAGATCCTATAAATGTGCACTGGTTTGCACCGATTATGTTTCTAAGTTTCTAGGTCAACACCATACCCGTGCTCGTGGGTTTCACCAAGGTGGTAAATGTCTGAGACCTGCATCACTTCAGACTCTCCTCCCACATTAAGCTGACACGCCGTGATATAACTTGAATACTGTTAAAAGCGGCCTTAAACCCAACTCACTCACTCACACTATCAATCTGCAAGTTAAACTACTGCATTAGAATCTGACTGATCCAGATTTCTGTCAATACTGGACAGTATTTATGGTCCTGAATTAACGATAAATAATATTTCCTTCAACCTCCTCTCTCTATCTTCTGCTATGACTTTGCTAATGAAGATCTCTGTCTAAAACAACTGAATCTATCCAGACCGCCTCCGTGGTCTAGTGGTAGAGTGTCCGCATGGAGAGCGGAAGGTCTGGGGTTCGATCCCCGACTGCGTCATACCAAAAGATGTTAAAAGATGGTACTTGTTGTTACCCTGTCTGGCGCTTGGCATTAAGGGGCTAAAACGAGGACTGGTCGGCTCGGAGTCAGTATACTGTGTCTGAGTGGGGTATTCATGTTCAACTGCGGCATGGTATCTCAGTGTGCTAGCACTATAAATCGGCATCAGTCCGGACTAGTACAAGCAGCCACTCAAACACACACGTACATGCACGTCGCTATATAACTTAGTGCAATAATCTTGAACGCGACATTAAACCCCATTTCACCTTACCTGAATGTATCCTGTTGGTACTCCAGCAGGTTGATAACCTGTCATTGTACCCCGATGGTGTGGAACGTTGGTTACGATATCAATGACTGGATTGTCTGGCCTAGACTTGTTTAACTACAGGTTGCCAACATATACCGTTAACTGTGTTATTGCTGAGTGCCGCAATTTTTAGCTGTCAAAATCAGACTTCTATTCAAGCAGTGTTTAGTCCTGTGTAGTGTTCACTGAGTCCGGGAACATTTCTTTGGGTCTAGACTATTTACCTTAACAGTTTACGTTAACAAAATGTCAAAATGTTGGAACTGTATGTGAGTTGACGTTTTCAGGACGACATGTATTCGCTGTTCTTCGTCAACAACAACTGGTACCTGTTCCTGAGGCTGCATCAGATCCTGTGTGAGCGTCTGTCGTGGATCTACACCAACACGCAGCGCATCATCGACGAGTCGAAGCACTGTCAGCAGGAGAGGAAGGACTCTACCTCCACGGCGCTCCGCCTCAAGACACCATGTATGTACACACCCCAGCTACTCACCTGTTGCAGATCCGGGGTAGAATAGGTCTTCAGCAACCCATGCTTGCTGTAAAAGGCAACTATGCTTGTCATATGAGATGACTTACGGGATCGGATGGTCAGGCTTGCTGACTTGGTAGATCGATGCTTATGATGTCAATCACTGGATTGTCTGGTCCAGACTTGATTATTTACAGACTGCCGTCATATATCAGGAATATTTCTGAGTGCAGCTTTAAGCAGCAAACAAAACAAAGTTCCAAGCCAGTATTGTGTTTCATGCTGTGGTTAATTCCCTGGTTTGTGTTTCGTGGTGTTAAACTCCCAGTGTTGTGTGTCCTGCTGTGTTTAACTCACAGTGTTGTGTGTCCTGCTGTGTTTAACTCCCAGTGTTGTGTTTTCAGTTGAGGTGGAGCCGGAATATTACTACCAGTACTTCCTGGAGATGGTCAAGAACTTGTTGGACGGCAATATGGAGGCGGGGCAGTACGAGGACCAGCTTCGGGAGATGTACGGCATCCACGCCTACGTCGCATTTACCATGGACAAGCTTGTACAGAACATTGTCAGACAGGTCAGTTGTCTCCCTTGCATAGAACTTTGTCCATTCTCCTTCCCATTTGCTGCCACCAGAGTGGGCGCGGCCATTACAAGAATCTTCAAATTTGCCCTCTTACCCCAAATGTAGTAACGTTGATACTTATGTTTATGTCTTTGGGAATGCCAAGATATTTCATTTTGAAAAGGTTTATGCCTGACCATGTTTTCCAGATGAATTTACTTTGTTGTTTTTATAATCAGATTGTTTCGAGATTGCAGACTAACGGAAAATCAACCAACTTCTCCCTTACATTCTTACTATATCAATAACACGATAGTTTTAATGAAACAGAAATTCAAATTGACAAACGAAGAAAGTAGTTTATCAGCGGTAAGTGTATTCGGCATCACGACAGTCGTCACTTGTTTGTGACATATTGGTCCTTCGGTTACGAGTTCAACTCCAAGCATGGTTTGGGGCCACTTATCACAGTGGGGAGTTTTCACTGGTGGCAGCGATAGTATATAGAGAGCTCCGCGAACGGACTATCGCTGTGAGGAGCTTGAACTTTGTCCTGTCAGTTGTCTCCCTTGCACAGACCATTGTCAGGTCATAGAATCCTTGAAGTCTTAGAATTTTGGTTTGAGTTTCCCAGGCCTGGAGTAGTTTTGGAAATAGAAAATTGGAAAGCCATGGAAAAATCATATGTTTAAACCAGTTATTTTTTTGGGGGGATATATATCAGTGGCGGGCAGATAGGTAAAGTTTGAAGTATTTGAATTAGTACTAGGGGATACTATTTGGGCTATTATCACTATTGCAATAGTATTAAACCAACTTTAAGGCTTGATAATGAAATAGAAAAGAATAAAATATTGCTGACTACTCAAAGTTTTCTGTTGCTACTCAGACCAAAGGGAGGTAACTCTAATCTGAAATTGTCATTATTCTTGCTTGAACTTGATCACGGCTCATGAACAGGATCATAGCTTTTTAAACAAGTTGTGCATGAAATATTGATCAGAAAAATAATCGAAGCTGCATTTGGAATTTCACCATGTGCAATATTTCATTTATTGGAACTATAATTATTTGAAATATATCCTAAAGTAGTCTGTCATTAGTAATGAAATCGCAAAGTCTAGCTTGATGTAAACAAAGTCTGTCATACTCACAACTGTCATGTTTACTATGAAAACAAATGCTGATGAATTCCAGGAAATCCCGGCCAGATATTGAGAAATGGTGATCTGTGCATGAGCGGAATGAATCTATCTGTCTATCAGATTTCATTTAGACAAACCGTATGTTAGAAGCACATCCATGATCTTACCTATGACTTTCATACACTCCCCTACTGGTTGAATGGAAATTCCCCCCTTTCTTGAACTGAAAGGGGGGTTTCCCTCTCGTTTTTGTCTTCTGGCAAAATTTCTGAAGTGCCCAGCCAATGTTTTACAGACAGCTATGTCTGGAAAAGGCTGACTGAGACATTAGACAACAGTCCGTCTCTCTCTCTAACTCGACCGCCTCCGTGGTCTTGTGGTAGAGCGTCCGCCCGGAGAGCAGAAGGTCCAGGGTTCAATCCCGGGCCGCGTCATACAAAAAGACGTTAAAAGATTGTACTTGTTGTTACCCTGTCTGGCGCTCGGCATTAAGGGGCTAAAACAAGGACTGGTCGGCTCGGAGTCAGTATACTGTGTCTGAGTGGGGTATTCATGTTAAACTGCGGCATGGTATCTCAGTGAGCTAGCACTATAAATCGGCATCAGTCCGGACTAGTACAAGCAGCCACACACACACATACACGTGCATGCACGTCGCTATATAAGTGCAATAATCTTGGACGCGACGTTAAACCCAATTTCACCTCACCTCACCTCACCTCTCTCTAACTCACGTTTAAAGCGCTAGCCGTGTTCTGTACACCATGTGTTTTGTTTCCAGCTACAGCACATCGTGACAGACGATTCCATCCAGAAGGTGACAGAACATTACTTGGAGGAGAAGCGGAACAACGCTGTTGGTGGTCGCCTAGCAACACAGCACCAGCGAGTAATGGCGGAATCCAATTATCAGCGTAAAGCCGAGATGTTTCTGTCTGAAGAAAACTGTTTTAAAATTGTCATTGTAAGTTTCAAATCATTATCAATACTTCAGGTTCAAACTAGATTGGCAACAAAATAGTCATGTTGTGAATTACGACCTATTTGTACCACTTGTGTCGCCTCGGGATGCGGGGGGCACGTGTGGCCCAGTCGTCTAAGGCGCCGCGATTCGCTGTGCAGAGTTGCGTCCCTTGGGCACGCCAGAAACCTATGATTGTGGGTTCGAATCCCGGTTTGCCCTGATTATGTTTCTAGGTTTGTCAGCACCATACCCGTGCTCGTGGGTTTCACCGAAGTGGTAAACTTCTGAGACCTGCATCACCTCGGGCTTTCCTCCTACATTAAGCTGACACGCCGTGATATAACTGGAATACTGTTAAAAGCGGCGTTAAACCCAACTCACTCACTCACTCATCGGGATGCGACCTGTGAAGATCCAGGGTAGAATAAGTCTTCAGCAACCCATGGCGACTATGCTTGTCGTAAAATGCGACTAACGGGATCGGGTGGTCAGGCTTGCTGACTTGCTTGATGCATGTCATCGTATCCTAATTGTGTAGATAGATGCTCATGATGTCAATCACTGGATTGTCTGGTCCAGACTCGATTATTTACAGACCACGTCATATAGCTGGAAAATTACTTAGTGCGGCGATAAACAACAAACAAACAGTAATAGGTGCTGGTGCATGTTTTATGTAGCTAGTGGAGCCCTATGTCTAACCTTGGGTTGTGTCTGTTCAGTACAAGAAGGACTGTCGCCTGACCCTGGAGCTGATGGACACAGAACATGATCAGTCGGATGAGCCGGTGGAGGTGGAGCGGTGGTCGGAGTACGTTGAGAAGTACGTGGCTCAAGACGAGACCATCTCCGACGAACTCAAGGAGCAACTTACCAAGAAACCAGTATTCCTGCCAAGGTAGGCTATGTTGTGGAGAATAGGGCAGTTGGAGTCAGAATAGGTCCCCAGTACCCAATGCTTGTCTCCCGATGTGGATTCTAGTGCAGATAGGTCCCCAGTACCCCCATGCTTGTCCTCCTGTGTGGATTCAAGGGCAGACTAGGCTCCATATCTCTTGTTTGTCACCCTGTGTGGATTCAAGGCCAGAATAGGCCCCATATCTCATGTGTGTCTCTGTGTGGATTCAAGGGCAGAATACAGTGATCGCTCGCTATTGCGCTCTTCGATAAAGCGCTACTTCGGTTATTACGCGCGGTAACGCATGGCTCCCAAAATTTATGTACACTTTTAATACTGAGAGTTTTACACAGACATGATTGTATTGTTGTTCGTTGTTTATTTGCACATAACGCTTCTCATTGCATAATCAACGGTTTATCGCTGAATGGAGTTATAATAATCTGTTTGAAAATATCCGCGGCAAGTCCCGGAAATACGATTGTTCAACTAGTTAACTTTTCACACTATACATCCTTTGATCTTAGAAGCGCATGCATGCAATAAAAGAGAACCACAAGTGAAGTTTATATTCTTAATTAGTGGGCAATCCAATTTAAGGCTAAACTGTCACACACATGTAGTTGCTGTCACAACACGGCGGTCATTCATTTCGTAATCGCGCTTTCGTAACATCGCCTGTTTTTTCCCCGTAGTTATAACAAGCGATTTCATTGGATTAAAATTTGTTTCTAATGACGCTTTCTTGCCGAAATCTGCTACAAGTTTCGTGATTGGTCAATTTTGAGCACGTGACCTCAGGCAGCCAATCAAGCTTTGATACAAAGCTCGTGTTTGATAAATTTCAGAAGTTAGCGTAGATTTTTTGTTAAATCGTGTTATTCTGAACGTTTTAAGCAGGAAATCACGATATATATTAAAAATATGGAACTTCGCGAATGTATCATGCTAGGTTACGAGCTGTGACAAAGATTTTTCATGCATATATTTTTGCATTAAACGTTGTGTCCTAGCAGAGAATTCAAGGCGACGAAAGCCGAGATGTCATTTGACTTACATTACACGCGATCGCACGAAACGATGGAAATAATAACTTAATTTTTTACTTATCCTGCATTACTCCTTAATGCATTCACTGCTTACTTACGACAACTAGAAGGACAGCGCTGCGAAGGTCCTGGGTGAAGAAATAAAGTTGTTGTTCTCAAGTCCCAATCAGTGGCCTTCCGTCGCTGTCCTGTGACCTTGATGACACCTAAGGTCATCTTCACATCACTGCTTGTCGCAGCACAGCTAGGACGTGTCCAAGCGGAGCTCTCCTTTTGGATTAATTTTAGACCTTCAGTTTGTCTACAATCTTAAAAATTGATCTGCGATGGGTGATGTATTCTTTTCATATTACTTTCACCATGTTGTGTAGTTTTATATGAATTAATTAGGCGTGAAAAGACGCTTGTCTTTTTTCCCGCCAAAATATTGTTGTTCGCCGCCATTTTGAATTGTGTTACAATCGTTTGCCTGCCAAGGTAGTCATATTGTTTACAATTCTCAGCTACGTATGTATAACATATTCTTATGTTCTTAAATATTACTAGCTTTGGCGTAACAGTGAGTTGCGTATACTAAAATTATTGTATACTTTTTCAACTCGTTAAAAATATGGTTGCCGATAGATTAATATCAAATCTACGGCTTTCTTCCAGTCCCGCTTCATCAACAATTCTTTTATTGCGTACCTATGTTTATGCGATTAAATAGTTTTTTGTTGGTATTTTTGGTTTTACATTGAGTTGCGTATATGAACTATTGTATACTCTTGCAACTCGTAGTTTTTGCCGATAGATTATTGTTCAATTCTATGGCATTCTTCCAGTACCGCCTCATCAACAATGGCGTAATTGTGTTTAATTTAAACATATTTTATTGACATATATGGTCAACGGGATTGGGCAAAAGTTATCCAACTTAGGTGGCCCTTTCCCTACTCTATATGTACAGACATTGAATATACATATATATATGTAATTGTGTAACTTATGATTGAGCGTGGTATTAATTGTCGTGGGAAAAATCTTACAAAGATTATCATCCACGTTGTTTGGTTTGCGCGCAGATGTGCTCTCCAAACCCTAAATGAAAATATAAATACCCTTGGTTTACATTGGGTTGCGCATACAAAAATATTGTATATCCTTGCAACTCATAAATTTGCCGATAGATTAGTGTTCAAATTCTTCGGCACTCTTCCAGTATTATCTCATCAACAAGGGTTTCATTGCGTAACATACCTTTGAGCATTTTACTAATTGTCGTGGAAAAAACCTTACAAGATTATCATCCACGATTGGTTGGTTTGCGCGCGGATGTGCTCTCCAATCTCTAAATGTAAATAGCCTTGGTTTACATTGAATTGCGTATATAAAAATATTGTATACCCTTGCAATTCGTATTTTTGCCGATAGATTACTGTTCAATTCTACGGCATTCTTCCAGTACCATTTCTTCAATGGTTTAATTGCGTAACATAATTATGTTTGCTCGGTGTACATATTGTCGTGGAATAATCGCCCAAAGCTCTTTATCCACGGTCATAGGCATGCACGTAGATGTGCTCGCCAAAATTCAAAATGTAATTTTTATGTAAATCTCTAATCCAACGAGTTTACTATATAAAAGCAGATTACTCACAATCATATTTTGCAGTTATTCCGTCGTGAGACGAGAGGAATGTCACTATCGCAGAATAGCGAATGACATATGGTTCTGTCATTACCACCCAACCGTTATTATCGGCAGGTATTATGACGACTGTGATTGCAGAAGTACACCATCCACCGAAATCAACAATACCGGAGGATTTTGTGAGTATCGTAACTGCTCCTATTTTTTCAGCCGCCGGACACTTCCAGATACATGTATGATAATCTGTGACGTCGGCGACAGCACCAGCGTATCGAGATGCTATGATGGGGGTAGATTAGACACAAGCCTTGATCCAGTCAATACTTTTGAGCTTTGTGTCTGATTTATCTGCGCCGAGCGCAGCACTTGACTACAACCAAAGCACTTCTATTACGCAATCGGCGCACGATCAGCTTAGCGCTGTTCCAACATATCCAGCATAGACCTGCGCCGAGCGCAGCGTCTGACTGATACCCAAGCGCTCCTATCACGCCAGTGACGCACGATCAGCTTAGCGCTGTTCCAACATATCCAGCATAGACCTGCGCCGAGCGCAGCGTCTGACTGATACCCAAGCGCTCCTATCACGCCAGTGACGCACGATCAGCTTAGCGCTGTTCCAACATTCCAGACCTGCGCTGAGCGCAGCGTCTGCGTATCAATCAAGGTCTCTACAATGACGTTAGCCCAAGGCTTACAGTGTACCGGTTACGTAACCGGCACATGATCAGCTTAGCACATGTACCCGATTGGGAAGCAGACCATCTCGTGTCAGTAACGCCTTCCCCTGATAACAGGGTAAATAAGAGGGACACCACGAGGTCATTGGAGGAAGCCTTCTCCAAAACTCACATTTGCTCCGTGATTTAAGCGACCAATATCGTCAATGTTTGCAGTGGATCAGAATCTATTAGAGGATAACCCTATCTGATTAGATCACTTCCAAACTATGGTGTTTTTCCTACAGCGTCAGTTTGACCACAGGAAAATTCATCTTGAGACCGTTCTGACGGTGATTACCGTTACACCCAAGACTTTATAGCGTTTCCAACTGAGATGCTGGTTTCAAGGGCAGTCTATTACGTCAACCTTGATCATCTACTCCCCTGTTCAACGAACAGATCGCAGACACGCACGTCAAGTTCCCAAAAAGCTTGGAAAGTCCAAGTCAGGGAATTATAAGCCTAGACGCGCGTTTCTCAGGGAAGACCAGCATTCCCTTACTGAGAAAGGGAGTGGCAGAGACAAGTCTCAAGGACGATTTCGTACTTATCGCACTATATCATGGTGTCCGTATAAGGGTAGAGTTAACCCCACCGTTGACCACAGTTTGATTGGGAAAATCCAACATAGACATACTGTTGGTAAGAAGAGCTGTAGAGTGGGTTCACAACCCAGTCTTTACTCCGGGGTTTTATCCTCACACCTACCTGGTACTCATGAAGGACCCAGACAAGATGAGAATGATCCACAATCTCTGTGTTCAACGAACGTTTGATTCTTCATCAGTCTCGACTATCCATCCCAACCGTAGACTTTTCAGGTCCAGTTCATTGGGGTTCACTACCAATGGTAGTATTTCCCATTTGACATGTCAGTGACACTTATGGCTATTTACAGGAGTAATGAAGCCAATAACTATCTACACGTGACGAACACTTGGTTCGAGTCGTAGATGGAGGGCGATCTACTGTATCATCAACACATGTCAATAACTGGGATAGACAATCAACGAGGCGAAGTCGGGAGTATTCTCCTTCCTTTTGACTTCAGTTCATAGGAGACCTGTTTAAGACAGACCAGGATATCCTATCTGTACCGAGGGACAGATGGCACAAGTTTCTACTTCTTTTGTCATCTACTCTACACCAACCACACACACTTCGCCAGTGGCAAGTGTTGCTAGGGTTAATCACCTCGGCACAGGAGTTAACTAGCATGGGCCGCTTACAACAGCAACCAATTCAATTTTTTTCCTGAACCCTTACATCAGGAGTCAGGATCCACTCAAGGCCATCACTCTACCAACTAAGCTAGAGCCTCAATTTGTGGCGCTGAATGTCTGCGGAGTCTGTTTATTCGGATTTTCCCCGAATACACACCTGTTTGTGGACGTCCCTTTTCAGGGGTGGAGTCTTCACTTACAAGACCAGATAAGCTCAGGGCTATGGCCCGGCGCACAATGGAAGTGGCACATAAACAACTTGGAGTTGGAAGCTTTAATTCTGGCTATATCACATTGGCAGAATCAACTACAGTTAGCCCGACTCGCTATATCCACAGACAACAGCACTGCGGTGTGGTGCCTGTGCAATCGGGGAACAACACACTCCCACTCTCCACTTCTAAGGACATTCAGATTTCTTCCATCTAGTGGATCGGCTGTGACTAAGGTTCATAGTTCAGCACATCCCCGGATGTAGAAACATACTGGCCGATACTTTATCACGTCCAGACAGGGTGGCTCCCACTGAGTGGAAATTTCTCACAGAAGCATTCCAGTTACTGCTTCAGGAATTCAGGCAACCAAACATTGACTTGTTTATTACTTGCCTAGGCCACCAACTCATGACGTATATCTCCCCGTTGCCGGATCCGCAGACTTGGGCGGTGGACGAGTTCAGTATCACTTGGGAAGGGCAAAGAACTAAAACTCTTCTGCCACCACTTTTACTTCCAAGGTGCTACAGGGGATCAAGGAGACAAGGTATCTCGATCTCTCCTTTGGTCGCACCATGGTAACCGGCGAGAGGGTAGTTCGTCAAGCTCGGAAAAATCTAAAACGATTCACTTCCCCTCTCACAGTGGTCCAACCTACTCATCCACCCTCAACAGAAAATTGCCTCACCCAACGTCTGCACGCATGGTTCGTCTTTAAAAGGCGTTTAAGTGCGAAGGGTTATTTCGACACGGGCAGCAAAGCTATAGCTTTAGTTCATCGTTACTCTCCCAGAGACGACGATGACAAGTGGGGATCACTTGAGACTTTTTACAGGGAAGAAAAGAATCAAGACCCTACGATTGCGTCACAATTCCTAGAGGAATACCTCCTACATTGCGTCCCCAAAAACACTTGGAAGGTAGCACCATTACTACGTAATTGGCTGCAATTATCTTAGTGTTGGCCGTTTCCGGAAAATCACAGTGTGATTAAGGTCACGGAACTACAGGCCATATTATGCTCATTCAGGTTTGAGGATCAGAAGGCCAAGTTCCAGCCACCTGATTGGGACTTGAACGTGGTACTTCGAGGTTTGCGAGGGCCCCCTTCGAGCCCCTCATTGCATCCTCATTTTCAAGCTCCTTCCCAGCGCGTGACACCTTCGTTACACTCTCGGTATAGTATAGAGAGCTCCGCGAACGGGCTATCGCTGTGAGGAGCTTGGACCTCACCAAGGAAACAATGGTTTTCTCTTGGCATTAGCAATGGCGGTACGGGTGAGCGAACTACATGTGGTCGACTCAACCCGGATCCGTTTTGAGCATGGGACGCACGGAACAGGACATCTAGGGTTATGCTGGGATTTTATTGCTAAAATCTACTACCAGGCCAACCCGACCGTTCTTCACCATCCCACCGATATCGACTATTGTGGGAATCGTACATGGTGAAGTTCTCCTGGGCTCGGTGCGAGCAGTTCGAGTTTTCATTCGACGCTCCAAGACAAGGCGTGGTTCGTCCACGACAGAAGTTAGTCGCATAATCGCAAACACCATATCTATATGGTTACGCGCAGTAATCCTTCAGGCCTACGAGATCATCAAACGGAACTCGCCGAGAGCGAATTACCCTCAAGATCTCAAGGTGTCAGCCTTACCAGGGCTCAACACGGCAATTGTGGTTTTGGAACAATCACGGAAGGATATTTCTGGAGATTCGACACATATTTTCGTTAGTCATAACCTTCGCGTTGTGACTCTCGAGGATGTCAAAGACGTTCGAAGTTTGGCCCTCTGGTTGTTATCCTGCAGATTGCCAACCACTGACGCAAATAATGAACTCGCCCTATACAGAGCCAGTCAACTTCCATGTGCAGTCACTCAGTCGCCACAAGTGGAAGAATATTAGACAATCTTGTTTGTCAGCGACGGCTCTATGACGCAGTAAGTAAAGAATTAGCTGAATAGCTATTATTTTCTTTATTACTAAGCGTGTATAGGGAATTTCTCTTTAATTCCTATGTTCAATGTTTTTGATTTTTGAACAACCCTACCGTAATGGCGTTTTTGTCTGAACTTTTCCGCTTCACGGTTTATCGACCAAATGGGGTCGTATTGCAGGGTGTGAATTATTGAGGTTTCTGTATTCTGAAGGTTGACCCACCTCCAAACCGTCCGATACAGATGCATTAAGGAGTAATGCAGGATAAGTAAAAAATTTAGTAAAATCTAAATATTTTTTACATTTGTATACTTATCCTGCATTACTACGCTTAAGGCCCACCCGTCGTTAGACTTGCCTCCCCACTTTGGCTTCAGAAACCTCAAAAGTATGTTTTTCTAAGAGCTTGGGCGACAGGCAGTGATGTGAAGATGACCTTAGGTGTCATCAAGGTCACAGGACAGCGACGGAAGGCCACTGATTGGGACTTGAGAACAACAACTTTATTTCTTCACCCAGGACCTTCGCAGCGCTGTCCTTCTAGTTGTCGTAAGTAAGCAGTGAATGCATTAAGGAGTAATGCAGGATAAGTATACAAATGTAAAAAATATTTAGATTTTACTAAGATGTAAGTTTGATTACTTTTAGATATATTTTTGTTGATTTTATTTATCACTTTGTATAATATATTTAAAGATTTGCTTAAAATAGTCTTTATTTTGCTCTTTGACATGTTCGATGCGGACCCGTTGTCGAAATGTGTGTCCGAGAATTTTATTTTCAATAACATCGCGGGAAATAGTGAATAATTTTTTAATTTATTGATAAAAAATGATAAATTAGAATGGAATACGTATTTCAGACATTGTGAAATATGACAGATTTAATAAATGAATGATATTACAGGTAGATCTAGGTCCATAAAAATATATACTATTTTGACGTGACGTGAGATAAACACATAGGCCTATTGATGATTTGAGATTTGCCGAGCGCGCTCCCCCGCCTCGGCCTCGGTTAAACGGCTCATCGTCTATAACGCCCACCAATTATTTGGACCCCATTGGTAGCGCAATAGCGAGCGATCACTGTAGGTCCCCAGTACCCTATGCTTGTCTCTGTGTGTGGATTCAAGGCCAGAATAGGTCCCCAGTACCCCATGCTTGTCTCCCTGTGTGGATTCAAGGCCAGAATAGGCCCCACACCTCATGCTTGTCACCCTGTGTGTATTCCTGGGCAGAATAGGCCCCATACCTCATGCTTGTCACCCTGTGTGGATTCTGGGTTTGAAAGGACACCAATGCTTTATCTCATTTTCAACCCATCACATCCTCAGAAATGTGCGTCACACCCGCCAACACAACAAAAACCAGAAACACAAAGGCGAAAAAGAACAAGAAGAGAAAGAAAAGGAGCGCGAGAAGGACGAGTCGGTACGGACGGAGGCGCAAGCGTCTGAAGACATGGACATCTTGGACAGCACTGGCTGCAAGTTCAACGTCAACTCCTTCAAGATGGTCTACGTCGTCAACAGCGAGAGCTACTTGTACAAGAGGATGGCGCTGCAGAGGGCAAGAGAGGTGAGATGGGGATTTAGTCGACCTCCTTGTTCTCCAGTGGGGGTCGGGTAGCCTAGTGGTTAAAGTGTTTGCTCGTCACACCGAAAACCCGGGTTCAATTCCCGACACGGGTACAACGTGTGAAGCTCATTTCTGGTGTCCCAGGCCGTGATAGTGGTGGAATTTTCCTTAAAGCGGCGTAAAACCATACTCACTCATTGTTCCCCTACTAGATTTGAATGAATCTCTGTGATATGTACAGATTCCCAGTTAGGCTAGTTTCCCCATCAGCTTATGCCGACATAATGCATTGGGGTGTTCAGCTTGGTGACTTTGTGGGGTGGTGGGGAAGCCTAGTGGTTAAAACGTTCGCTCATCACGCCGAAGACCTGGGTTCGATTCCCCAGATGGGTACAATGTGTGAAGCCCATTTGTGGTGTCCCCCACCGTGATATTGGTGGAATTTTGCTAAAAGCGGTGTAAAACCATACTCACTTCTTGTTCTCCTACTAGGTTTGAATAAATCTCTGTGATATGTACAGATTCCCAGTTAGGCTAGTTTCCCCATCAGCTTATGCCGACTTAATGCATTGGGGTGTTCAGCTTGGTGACTTTGTGGGGTAGCCTAGTGGTTAAAACGTTCGCTCATCACGCCGAAGACCTGGGTTTGATTCCCCACATGGGTACAATGTGTGAAGCCCCCCACTGTGATATTGCTGGAATATTGCTAAAAGCAGTGTAAAACCAAACTCACTCAGTCACTTGGTTGAGTGATATGGTATCTGATGATATGGATCATTGCTTATAGGATTGTCTGGTCCAAACTTGATAATTTACAAACCTTCTTATAGCTGAGTGCGGCGTTAAGCATGTCATGTGAGTCAATCACTGTTTTCACCTAACTATCCAATGCTCATCCTATGGCAATAACACGAAACCTTCACATCGCAACTTGGTGTTTCTTCTAACTGTTGTTACAGTCCTGCAACCAACCTGTGAAGATCCGGGGTAGAATAGGTCTTCAGCAACCCATGCTTGCTGTAAAAGGCGACAATGCTTACCGTAAGAGGTGACTAACGAGATCGGGTGGTCAGGCTCCCTGACTTGGTTGATGCATGTCATCGTATCCCATTTGCATGGATCAATGCTCATGATGTCAATCACTGGATTGTGTAGTCCCGACTTGATTATTTACAGACCGCCGTCATATAGCTGGAATATTGCTGAGTGCGGCATTAAACAATAAATAAAAAAACAAATTCTAACTGCTGCTTCTTTTGTTCCAGTCTCACAAACGGGTGTCGCTAAAACTACACGAAAAGTTCATGATCTGGGTGAACAAATGGAGGAAGGAAAACGTCTCGTCCGAACTGGAAACACTGTCGTCGCAGTGGATGATGGGCAAAGGAGAGGACATGCAACCTTGCAAAACCACGTGTGCAAAGACTTACTACCCCGACCGGGCCCCCTACTACCAGTATCACCGCTACTCCGTCGACTACTACCCCCAGGTCAAAGCCCCGCCTGAGTAACCCATCCCCAGGTTGATGATAGCTCTGCCCTGTCAGCAGAAACACTGACGATCTGTTGTCATGAGTAGAAGTTTATCGTGAACCAATATTGTGAGAGATATAATGAGGTATCTTGGTGCTTTGGCGGAAACAATCAAGTCATCAAGTGCGGTAGGCAACCAAGGTTGCCTGCATTTCAAGACACTGTATGCTGTAGGCAACCAAGATTGCCTGCATGTCAAGTCACCGTCTATGGTAGGCAACCAAGACTGCCTGCATTGCAAGTCGCCATGTGCTCTAGGCAACCAAGACTGCCTGCATGTCAAGTCACCGTGTGCTGTAGGCAACCAAGACTGCCTGCATTGTAAGTCACCGTGTGCTGTAGGCAACCAAAACTGCCTGTATTTCAAGTTGATGAGTGCTGAAGGCAATCGACAAAGCCTCTTAATACTAAAACTCTGTCTCGAGCGGTTTGATGATGTAATCCAAGATGGATTACGGTTAATGATGGTGTCTGGTTCATTCACATTAAGGAATGGATATTCAACACCCTTTTCAACTCTGGCGGATGTGGTGTCGTCGAGTTGAAGGATGTTCGGTGTGTGACGTTGCGCTGTCCGACGTATTGTGTATCATGATCGTTGTGGTGGGTGCCGATGGTGTCCGGGGATATTCCAGGTGTAATAGGAGGAAGGAGGAGTCTGTCGTCGCTGAAGCCGATTAGCGGATATTCCACGAGTCCGCCATGTTGTGTTATGAGGGTATTCCTTTACCTCGTAGCGTACGTGTTACGTGACCCAAGGCAGCATTCTCGTTAGCTGTGTACTGTCCGTTTCACTTTCCGATGTACTGGTCACATAACTACAAATCCCCCTATGGCAACTTTCTTATAATTCTTACACTGATCTTGAACCACTATTACAAGCTCTGGATATTTTTATGCCTAGTTCCAAAACCATTTACAAAATACACTAAATGTGTCATATGCAAGTGCAGTTTGTCGAAAGTTATGACCTGGGAAACTGGAATTATTGCTGCTACAGAATTATTGCTGCTAAATTCAGCAAAAGGGTAAACATAAGCTTGGACAAAATATGTTTTAATTGAAATATTACTCTGAATTTAATTTGGCGAATGGTTCAGGAACTAACAGGTAAGAAATGTTATTCTTAAAAGTCCACTCCGATAGAGCTTGTGAAGTGTGCTGAAAAATCAGAATCCATCTCATGAATGTTAGTGAAGGGCTTCTTAGCTCTGTTAGTGACCAATGGACGTCGGTTTGTCAAGTGGACCAGCCCATAGCTCTGTTTCCGCAGCTACAGTCTTGTAATCTGGCCTGTTGACTGTTCTTGTATATCACCTGATATACAATACAAACATCATGTTCCAACTTATCGTCAGGATTTTCCACAGTGATGCCCTGGTCTGGATTTGGTTTCGGGGAATTGTCAGTGGGAGCCAGTTGTGTTCGGGACAGTCAGTACCACTGTCTAGTAACATTGGTTGTGATGTATATTAGGGCTGGCTATCGATATAGATCATAGAGATCGGTAATTGTTAACTACATATCGATCAATTATTGATAAATATCGGAGAAGTCATTTTGACCGAATTACAAATATGCCCAAATAAAATCAACATATTTGACATCACTTGTGAGTGGTGACACATTTATGCATAGATTACTTTGTGGATATTTAAGGTGTACCAAAATCAGATGCTTTCCATCCTCGACAGTTGCATGATTATGAATAAAAAGTCTGTTTTGGTAAATTATAACTGTATTTCATCACACTAGTTTTTGTAAATTACATATTATCGATAACAATTTTCATATCTAAAATCGATAATAGTCCTTCACATTAACAATATTTCCAGTTATCGTTCTTTTATGCCAGCCCTAATGTATATCATGATAGCGGACTTTGATAACCATGTCTCAGTTTCAAGTATGGCAGTGATGTGTTGTCATGGTGTCTGTCGTTTGGTGATAAAAAGGCTGATTTTCTACCAAGAGGATGTTTGTGTTTAGAATTAGTCTATTTTTATTGTAAATTAAACTATTTACCTTAAATCTTTTTATTTCATCTTTTAACTGTTACTGTCAATTTACTTCCCTTTTTATATTAATGTACAGGGTTGATTTTCATTAGTCCACTATAAATAATTCAATCAACGTTTATTCAAATCTAAAAAAAAGTGAAGGGTTTATTTTTTGTAAGATCTCTCTGTAAACAAGCTATTCAATGTATCTGTGTACATAACTGTTGACGGATTCACATGTAGCAGGTCAGACAATGTACAAGTTAAAGACAGCAACAGTGATTTTCTTTGTCTGTGGTAGGCTAGTGGTTAAAGCGTTTGCTTGTCACGCTGAAGATCCGGGTTTGATTCCCAACATGGGTGCACTGTGAAGACCATTTCTGGTGTCCCCTGCCGTGATATTGCTGGAATATTGCTCAAAGCGGTGTTCAACTATACTTACTCGCTTAGGGTGCACGGGTGTCCCAGTCGTCGAAGGCGCCGTGATTCGATGTGCAGAGTTGCGTCCCTTGGGTATGCCAGAAACCTATGATTGTGGATTCGAATCCTGGTTTGTCAGCACCATACCCGTGCTCGTGGGTTTCACCGAAATGGTAAACGTCTGAGACATGCATCACTTCGGGCTTTCCTCCCACATTAAGCTGACACGCCGCGATATAACTGGAATACTGTTAAAAGCGGCGTTAAACCCAACTCACTCAATCACTCACTTACTCGCTCATTCTTTGTCCATAGGTACAAAAATAAAATAATGTGAGGTCAGTGTGAAATTGTGAAACTCCCAACAAACCAGACTGGTCGGTGACTCATGAACTTAACATCTGGAAAGTGACAAACGGGTCCACATTTGTAAATACACCCTAGAGTAGATAACAAACAAACAAACAATTTTCTTCTTCCACGTCATTGGTCCGCATCCTGACATAAACCAATCAGACACATGCTTAAAAAACACACAAACTGACAACCAGGCAATGTCAACAATACTCAAATCGAAATTCGATTTGCAGTTAATGTGGTTAGAAAATTATTTCTTTTTAAAATACAATATAACAATAATAAAACTGACTCAAAATACATACAGTAATGTTTGTTGAAGTTGCTGACTAATTTCACTTATCCCAACAGGGTCGGTCGGGTAGCCTAGTGGTTAAAGCGTTCGCTTGTCACGCCGAAGACCCGGGTTCGATTCCCGACATGGGTACAATGTGTGAAGCCCATTTCTGGTGTCCCCCGCCGTGATATTGGTGGAATATTGCTAAAAGCGGCGTAAAACCATACTCACTCACTCACTTATCCCAACCGATTAAACATGAAGAATTTTATTTGTAAATTTACATTTTTCATATTTGCTATCTGTACTACAACAAATACTGTTAGCGTTTAGCGACTGTGCGTTCTGTGGAGAATCCTGATGGCAAATATTTGTTAGGGTTATGTTTTAGAAACATAATGTTCCGTGACTTAATTTGCGACCAATTTGAGAAGTGTTCACTGGTATCTCGGGGCCTGTGTCCATTACAGCCCTATACCTTAGCATAGCTGAATATAACATACTGAAGATTTTGTAGCAAAGTCTTAATTTCTGCACCCATGTCTACAGGTCTGTCCCTAATTTAACAGAGGAAGAAGACACATCCTGTAGCGGTACTAAGATGTTGATTCAGCGCTAAGACATCTCTGAAGTATACTACTCAAAAAAAGTTAAGGACCACCCAATTCATACATATTACTATAGTTAATATGTTATGCCGTGACAGATTAACTACAGTATGTGAGTTGGGTGGTTCTAAGCTGTATAGATTGTGTAGTTTTGTAGGTAAAGCCGTATGGAGATAGTGAACGGATTTGGGGTGCGTTTGGCACTCAATTTTGAAATATAAAGTCAATTAAGTGTTTTTGTATGGTTTATAATTCTGTTCTGGTGTCCGATGCTTCGAGGTAAGACTGGGACATTTTTGTTTGAAAATAATGATTGATTCATGAAGTTGTCGTGTTGGTCAGCGGTCGAAGCATGTTTATATTGTATAATGTGTACATTATCAATACTACATTGTAGCCACCTTCCATGTGTGCTGTACATACGTCACGTTTCATCCTGTAGCGATAGTCGGGGCGGGGGCGGCGCGGGGGCGGCGCGGGGGCGTCTCTACATACAGTGGACATTGCAGTGTCATCTTATCACTATTACAATCATTAATACTATATTATTATGTAAGAAGGAAAATGATTAAACTTATTTTGAAAACATTTTGAATTTGTTGTTCATTTAGTGATTGATTTGAGCTGGCGACTAACGGGATCGGGTGGTCTGACTCGCTGACTTGGTTGATGCATGTCATCGTATCCCAATTTCGTGGATCAATGCTCATGATATATATCACTGGATTGTCTGATCCAGACTTACGGACCGCCGTCATATAGCTGGAATATTGCTGTGTGTGGCGTTTAACAAAGTGATTGTGAGTTGTTCCCCTTTGACTGCAGTTTGCACGTCACATCCAGATGCAATGTAACACAGCTACATTCAAATCATTAGTTCCCTTATTTCTTGTCAGCAGTATATGTTAGTGAGTATGGTTTCCACAATATTCCAGACCGTCTCCGTGGTCTAGTGGTAGAGCGTCCGCCCAGAGAGCGGAAGGTCCGGGGTTTGATCCTCAGCCGCGTCATACCAAAAGACGTTAAAAGATGGTACTTGTTGTTACCCTGTCTGGCGCTCGGCATTAAGGGGCTTAAACAAGGACTGGTCGGCTCGGAGTCAGTATACTGTGTCTGAGTGTCTGAGTGGGGTATTCATGTTAAACTGCAGCATGGTATCTCAGTGTGCTAGCACTATAAATCGGCATCAGTCCGGACTAGTACAAGCAGCCACACACACACACATACATGTGCATGCACGTCGCTATATAAGTGCAATAATCTTGGACGCGACGTTAAACCCCATTTCACCTCACCTCACCTCACCACAATATTCCCGCAATATCACGGCAGGGGACACCAGAGATGGGTTTCACACATTGTACCCATGTGGGGAATCAAGCCCGGGTCTTCGGTTTGACAAGCGAGGAAACAGGACAATATTTCTTTATTTTGACGACAGCGCGTGGAGTCTTTCAACCAATGTGAACAAAGGATAAAAACACAAATGAAAATTATCTTTTCACGTATTAGGGTATTTTCATTTAGAATCTTGTGAATGTGTAGACTTTTCAAAAATTAAATCACCCTAAAAGGTGACTGCTTGCCATAAGAGGCGACTAACTGGATCAGGTGGTCAGGCTCGCTGACTTGGTTGATGCATGTCATCGATCCAGATTGCGTGGCTCAATGCTCATGATATCGATCACTGGATTGTCTGGTCCAGACTCTTATTATTTACAGACCGCCGTCATAAAGCTGGAATATTGCCGAGTGCGGCGTAAAACAACAATCAAACCAAGCAAGGCCAAATATTAAATACTGGTAGATGAAATGTATGGCAAGTTATCCTGTGGCAGATGTAACTCTGGGAAGACTTAGTGTCATTTTATTCACAGATATTCCTTGATACCAATTTTAGATGGTGCTGAAAACTGTCTGTTTGCTTCTGGGCACTGTATTTGACCACTGCAGACTGCAGTATTAAACAACAGAGTTAACCAGTGAGGCAAAATGGGGTTTAACATCACGTCCACAAGTATATATCGCGTTGCGTCCACTTATATAGCAATGTGCGTGCGTGCGTGCGTGCCCAGACTTATGCTGATTTTATAGTGCTAGCCATGCCAAAGTTAATGGATAACAGTGAGTGAGTTGTGTTTAACGCTGCTTTTAACAGTATTCCAGTTATATCATGGCGTGTCAGCTTAATGTGGGAGGAAAGCCCAAATTGATGCAGGTGCTGACAAACCTAGAAAGATAATCGGGGCGAACTGGGATTTGAACCCACAATCAAAGGTTTCTGGCATGCCCAAGGGACGCAACTCTGCAATTGAGGTGCCATAGAGGACTGGGCCACCCGGGCCCCGTGCCCCCCTGACTGATAACAACAAATAACATCTTGTTATGACGCGGCCTGGGATTGAACCGCAAACCTTCTGCTCTCGGTGCTCTCCGGGCTCCCCGGGCGGCGCTCCATGGCTAGACCCCGGAGGCGGTCTCAAAATATAACAAGTAATAAAGAAATATTGGTAAATTTGTTTATTTCACATTTGAAGCACAGGCTAAGACAAGTAAAGCACACATGCCGAAAAAAGAAATGGGTCACAAGCTTTCCCTTTCCTTTATTCATCAGTAACAAGCTCCATTGAGATGAATCACCATTGTCACTCAAGTAACCATAGAAACAAATGACAAAATTGTCCATTTTGATCATTTGTGAATTATACAAAACATTCTCAAACCCTTGGAAGTTTGAGCAAAAGATCAAAGATTGAACTACGTTAATCTCAAGGCATGCAGTTTGACAAATACTGGTAGCTCTTCTGATCCTCATGGTGATAAACAGTATGATTCGGGGGTTAAAAATTGGGCGTCTGCTTCAAGGTTAAATAAAACACGCTTCGTTCGAATTTGAATTCAATCAACCAACTCACAAAGCCTGACCACCAGATCCATAAGTTGCCTCGTACGACCAAGCACAGAGTCCTGTTAACCTTTTTAACGTGGACTCCCCCTAGAAACAACACAAGGTGTTACAAAAGATTCAATGCCGCTTAGAACAATATATCAGTTATATCATGGTGTGTCAGGTTAATGTGGGGGGAAAGTGAGAGGAGCTGACGAATTGGGGCGAACCTCAGGTTCTCGTGTGCCCAAGGGACACAACTCTGAACAGGGAATTGCTGTGCCTTATTGGCTCCAGATTTAGATATAGTAAACAGGAGAAGTTATCGAATACAATTATGGTTAGACGACAAAAATATACAGTATTTTTCTGTACAATCATTTAAAAAATTATTTTTGTTTATTTTCTGGTCATGACATTATTTTCCTAATACCTATTATGCTTAATGGCAGTTGAGGGACTGGTCCATTATGGGGTAGGGGTGGGGATTGCTCTTAGAGCTATCCTACTTTGCCGACCCACACCCCACCCCAATTTTATGTAACATTTATTCATAAATCCCTATTCCTTAAAAAATGTTTCCCCCTGACCAGTCCCCAAAGAAATTACAGGGTTTGATAGATACATAAGGCAAGGTAAAACAAATATTTAATATAAACCTTTGGTACTTTTGAATGGTCAACCCATATTCTACTCAAAAGAAGAAGTTAAGGACAGCTGACGAACTAAAGTGATAGGACAGAATCAGGTGTTCTTAAACTTCCAACAGGGACCCTAAACATAGTGAGTGAGTGAGTGAGTGAGTGAGTTGGGTTTAATATAGAGTATTAAGTGTCCATGCTTCTGAGCATCTTCCTGAGGCAAGGGAGTTAACTGACTTTAAAAGTCCAGTTTCCACTCTTGCAGAACTAGGCTGGAATTCCTGGGCTCAATTGTATTGCCACCAGTGGTTATTACGAGTTATGTCCCTTCTATGCCTCTCCTATTGACCAATCAGATTCCACCTCTCGTATAACTTGCATTTGCTTCAAACAAAATGGCAGCAACCAGTCAAGAAGATCTGGTCCATAATCAAGATCTATATCGTGATAAAACGGGTCTTACATCGATAAGTGCATCAATTACATTTGCACCTTGATTAAAAACCTGAAAAGATTTGGAAAATATCTGTTGACAACGAGATGGCAAGTGCACATGCTTTGCAAATCCTGCAATTGACCGAAATTTGCATGAAGTTTACGTACCGGATTTTCATTTCATTGCACGATTTTGATTGGACCATGCACAGACTCGTTACGCCAGCCAAAATATAACTCCATATTACCAGCCTAGTTTGGCAAGGGTGGAAACTGGACTTTATAGTCAGTTAACTCCCTTGCCTCAGGAAGATGGCTTCCGAGTAGTATACAATGCATCTGATCAATTAATATTTAAAAAGATAAGTTACTTTTTCATTAAATCTTTTCCTATGAAGATATGGGCATTCAGGGGAATTTAAAAAAAATATGAAATATTTGTGATTGTTGCTTTGGATTTGGAACCTGTAAACTGACAATCAAACACCAGTCGCCCGAGGTGAGGCACTCGGCATCCACGTAGAATCATGTCATTCCATCCATTCCTCTCACCAAGGAAAACATCCATCCTCCATATCTCCAAAGGCTCGCATTTCGGTAAAACTGCACGAAACCCTTAAATCCTGTGGTTCATGCGATCTCAAATTATCTGCCCTTGATTTTCATTTGCCGGTTTGATTGGCTAAGCTACCCAGTCTATCAGACCAATCAGAATGTAAGTTGCAAACCAGTCTCAATGTTGGGTTGGTGATATCAATAACATGGTGCAAGTACCATTGGTTACGATCGAGATGGCGAGAAATTTAACATTGAAAAACTGACCAACACGCGCAAAAAATAAAAGACCTACAAAAAATCCTTTTGAAGGAAAGGATGTCTTCATGTCCAGTAAAACTGTCAGCGGATTTGGTTTCTAGGCAATATGAGTTACCTCCCTTACCCATTTTCTTTTTCCTTGTCTCAACTTTTGATTGATCGGTAAAATGTAATGAAAATCAAGGGCGGGTCATTTAAGATCGCAAGAACCAAGGGAATGGATCCTTGGGTTAGCGTAGGTTCACCGAAATGCGAGATGGACATAGAGGATGTGAGAAATCGTGAAAGATGAATATCGACCAATCGTTTTGACACCACAATTTTAACCCCTTAGTAACACAAACATATAACACGTCACTGAGATTCGTTGATAAAAACTTGATTGCAAAATATCATCTCCCTAAGATAGTTCTACATGTATTTAAAAATGTCCTATCTGTATCAGCTAAACCAATCAACAAGTCCAAGAGAACATTCATATGGCACATTAAAACAGAGACGACATTCGTTCCATACAGTAACCATGGTAACTGTTGGCAGCACTCGATGAATAAACATTCAAAAATTCAACTTATCGTCCGTAGTTGGTAGGGCTGGGACGGGTAGCTCGAGTACTCGGATCGGGTGGGTCCTGAGTAGACACGGGTACCCACAGGACAACCCGAATCCGTGGCTAGTCACGTGACACATTGTTTAATGACAATAACAATAAAGTTCCATAGTCATACAAGAAATCGATATTGTTTTGACTATGCATGTTGACTTTTATACTTCAACGGAAATATATAAAGCGTCAACGTCAGTGTTGTTTGTTTCTTTCTTTGTGGTTTAACGCCACACTCAGCAGTATTCCAGATATAGGACGCTGTCTGTAAAAAATCGAATCTGGACCAGACAATCCAGTGATTGACATCATGAGCATCGACCTAGGCATCAACGTAGATCGTTTTAAACATGTATCTTAATCATTTTTGCCAGGAGTCAATAAAACAAATCCCAATTGGACATTCTGTACTCTACTCCTGACACCTACAGCGGGTAGGAACGGGTAACTGGGGGTCAGGTACCCGTATAGTGAATGTGGACTCGTCCCAGCCCTAGCAGTTGGTACACATTTTATAGCAATATACTCACATATTATCAATATACACACACAGAACACCATGTCTTGTCTTGTTTTGATTCAAGGACAATTTTCAAGGGACTTAATTTGGTTCAATCAACCTTCAGTTAGAAGAACCATATTACAGATACATGTTACTCATCTTTACAAAAGTTTTAATTCATACCAAGCATGCACGTTAAATATCATTTTTCCATTTGTCATGACCATATTATTTTATTCACACAAAAATAATTATTATTTAGAAATAAGAATTTCATGCCATTCTATTGATTTCTGCAGACTTTGTCTTCATGTCATAATTTCTGCAATGCTCCTTTCCTCAATCAGTTATACACATCTGCAGTTCCGAGGATTTCCGCGGAATTCCAAGTATTTCCGTGGAATTTACAAACAAGGTGAGGTGAAATGGGGTTTAACGTTGCGTCCAAGATTAATTTACAAACAAGTTCCATCTTGAATATCAACTGTGCCTAGAGCTATGCTCAGAAAAGGACATTTCCAACACATGTTCTAATTCTAACTAACTTGGAATTTGTAAATCTAGAAACTTTCGCTTCCAATTTTAGTTTCTGAGCAATTGACATATGTCTTACCATCCTGTGTATCTCAAAGTTTAAACTTATCTTGAACAAGATTGGGTGATGCAAATAAAGATCTTAGTATCAAAATTATCAACCCCAAATGTGGAACACACAACATATTGCCTCGATATACCAACTCAACAGCTGTGAAATAATGCATATTCAAACTTTAAATACATGATGATGGAAGTCATGTGAGGTAAATAGTCTCAGAACCATCGTAGCATTTTCTAAACAGGCCAGACCACTTTAATTTCATGTTTCAGATTTTAGTCCAAATGAATTTCGGGTAGAAAAACCCCCCAAAAACAACACTTTTAAAGGAAAGAAAAAGTAAATGACGTATTTCGTCTATTAACATATTTTTGTGTGTATAATACGCACACAATCTAGAGGGTGTGTGTGTGTGTGTGTTGAGGGGGTATACACACAACCTAGAGTGTGTGTGTGTGTGTTTTGTGTGTGTGGAAAGGGGTATACACACAACCTAGAGTGTGTGTGTGTGTGTGTGTGTGTGTTGAGGGGGTATACACACAACCTAGAGTGTGTGTGTGTGTGTTTTGTGTGTGTGGAAGGGGTATACACACAACCTAGAGTGTGTGTGTGTGTGTTTTGTGTGTGTGGAAGGGGTATACACACAACCTAGAGGGTGTGTGTGTGTGTGTTGAGGGGGTATACACACAACCTAGTGTGTGTGTGTGTGTGTTTTGTGTGTGTGGAGGGGGTATACACACAACCTAGAGGGTGTGTGTGTGTGTGTGTGTTGAGGGGGTATACACACAACCTAGTGTGTGTGTGTGTGTGTGTGTGTTGAGGGGGTATACACACAACCTAGAGGGTGTGTGTGTGTGTGTGTTGAGGGGGTATACACACAACCTAGTGTGTGTGTGTGTGTTTTGTGTGTGTGGAGGGGGTATACACACAACCTAGAGGGGGTGTGTGTGTGTGTGTGTTGAGGGGGTATACACACAACCTAGTGTGTGTGTGTGTGTGTGTGTGTGTTGAGGGGGTATACACACAACCTAGTGTGTGTGTGTGTGTTGAGGGGGTATACACACAACCTAGAGGGTGTGTGTGTGTGTGTGTTGAGGGGGTATACACACAACCTAGAGGGTGTGTGTGTTTTGTGTGTGTGGAGGAATATACACACAACCTAGAGGGTGTGTGTGTGTGTTTTGTGTGTGTGGAGGAATATACACACAACCTAGAGGGTGTGTGTGTGTGTTTTGTGTGTGTGGAGGAATATACACACAACCTAGAGGGTGTGTGCGTGTTCCCGGATCTATAAACCAAGAAAGTAAAGTGCTCTGGCTTTAGGACAAAGTAAATTATGACATTTCAGTAACAGAGACCACAGACTTCCCCTTCCAAACCTAACCCCTCCTTTGCACAAAATTCACTTGCTGCAAACACAACCAGTCGTTCGTATGACCAAGCTTGGCAAGACAATGTACTACAAACAGTGAAGTAAGTCGGCCACACATAACTACACCTAACCACACAGACTGATTTACTCAAATTGGTTTCATTAGGCAAAACAAACATATAAAAGGACTCTCATCGCTGTGCAGGACACTCTAAATCTAGTGGGTGTGTACCTTTTTTTTCCTGGTTCCGAATTCATCCATTCCTAATTTTTAACTTTTTAGATTTTAGTCTTCAGGTAGAGTTATCTTTCCTTGACCATGTGACCACCATGTTGTCTACATTCATGACGGCTATAATGTTGCTTTAAATATATTTAAAACATGTGGCCAATACTTTCAATACTTCCTTTGTTGGAACTAAATTCTCACTCTAATTTTAGTGTTTCTGGTTGTCTGTTTGGAAACAAAACCATGTACACAAAAATCTGCTTAACAAATAAAAACGGACCATGGTATTTTTTAAATCTGATTTGATAAGAAACATTTAGTGGGGGGAGAGGAGATAGGTTTCCCCTCAATCTGATTCAGGATTAATCAGAATCCACCATCTTTACAACAAATTTAAACCAATTTATTGGTTACATTATCAATCAATTTATTGTGGCTGCTTTGAACAGTATTTATGTCATATGATGGCATGTCGGCTAGACAGCAAAAGGAAGGCCAAAGTGATGTAGGTCGCAGATGTATACCACTTTGGTAAAACCCACAAGCACACCGATTCTGGAATTCGAACCAATGATAATAGTGATCTGGCCAAACGAACGGACAGAACTGTCCGCTGAGAGTCGCTGTGCCTTAGATGACTGACTGCCTTGACCATTCCTTGACCATCCCAAGTATGGGGGTACCGTTCCTTACACGACACTTTGCCAGCTGTAACTAGACCGACTGTTTCTAAAACTATCCTAAAGTACTTAAGGTTATCAGCTGGTCTGTATCCAGAGTATTTAACTTTTAAATTAAAATTTTAAATTTTAAAATCTAGATGACGTTACATTCAAATTAAGACTATGAGGTTTGTGTTTCTTTTATTGCACTAGCCGCACTTATCAACTACCGCACCGAAAACAGTAGAGACTCGTAGTGAAATCATTCACAGTTTTGCATAATAGTATATTTAATAATATTAAACTTTTAAAAATATTTTTAACACATATAGGTAAAACATTCTTCTACGAGAAAACATAATTTCTTCATGCTAGTGTGCTAGCGTTTTTAGAAAATAGTTACGATGTGCATTTTTACGTATTTCACTCAGTTCCTAACATGCATGAGGTTACAATGCAGTGATGTCATCGTTCAAAGAATGTTTTGATGCTACTGTCATTCACTGTTGCTGTAAAATGGGAATTAATTTATTTTTTATTCCATATATAACACCAATTTTTGATGATTTGACTCTTAGTCTTAAGATTCTCACCCAAGTCATTTTGTTTTAGCTAAAGCTTGACTCCAAACATGCTGTGGAAGGTCTCCGATACACGACAGTTTGAGTTGTTCCGACATCCCTGCATACCTTACGCTAAAAAATATATAATAAATATTTCTTTGGCATCAGAGAAGAAATTCAAATCCTGTGCATCGGTCATTTTTTTTGCCAATAAAACAAAAAAGATTCATATTTCCCACGTCATATGAAACTTATTCGGTTATCATGAAATGACTGTTTGACAACTGACATTGAATTATTGAGCCCCACTGAGTCCCATGTGTGCCCAGATGGGTTTGTTGGGATTCTTGTTGGGGAAAAATGATAGATATAAAAAATGATATATACAAAAAGTCCTACCACCATCTTAATTTTGAACAAAATTGTGCCTGAGAAACAGTTATAGTTGGTGCAGCCTGTCAGGAGCCTACAAAGAGCTGACTGTGAAACAGAGGTGAAGCCATACACTGAGGTCACAATACGATACATATCATGATACATAGGTCACGATATGATACATATCATGATACATGAGACATGATACGATACATAAGTCACGATACGATGCATATCATGAAACACAGGTCACGATACGATACATATCATGATACATAGGTCATGATACGATGCATATCATGAAACACAGGTTACGATATGATACATATGATACATAGGTCATGATAGATAGATATCATGGTATATAGGTCATGATACAATATATATCATGATCCATAGGTCATGATATGATGCATATCATGAAACACAGGTCACGATATGATACATATCATGATACATAGGTCATGATACAATACATAACATGATACATAGGTCACAATACGATACATATCATGATATATAGGTCATGATACGATGAATATCATGATACATAGGTCATGATACGATGAATATCATGAAACACAGGTCACGATATGATACATATCATGATATATAGGTCACGATACGATGCATACATGATATATAGGTCATGATACGATACATATGATACATAGGCTATGATACATATCATGATATATAGGTCACTATATGATACATATCATGATATATAGGATACGATACATATCATGATACATAGGTCATGATACAAGAATAGTGATACGCATATTTACGTCAAATCGCATGGAAACAGCTTGGCGATAAATATTCAGAGCAGGTTCAAAAGGAAAAGCTAACTGTAGACACATGTTCGTAGCAGTTATTTTTAGTAAAGAACTTGAAGCGCCAAATACATTACATTTTGCGGTATTTGACTGACAAAACCTCTGGGGGTCATTAAACAAGTAGTGAGTCATTTGTTTTAGCAAATGAATCGTCTTGTATCTATACAGAAAAAGAAATATCGCGTATGGTATCATTTCTTGAAAACTCATGATGCACCCAGTATGGCTTCACCCCTAGGGTAAAGATCTGAAGGGTTGAAAAGAATGGGGGTTTGTTCTTTAAAGGTCTGGGGGCTAGGTTTAGTTTGTGTGGTAGCGTGATTGGACATAACGACTATCATGGTGCCAAAAAAAATATATCCTGGGAACCTGACCATCTGCATGAAGATTCATGGCAATCCATGGCTGATCATGAAAAAACACAAACTTTTGTAACCATGGCGACACTGAAGCCATGGCAACAAAACATAAGGTGATAACCAAGGTAACTGGCTAAATTGTCCACAGACAACTTTTGATGAAATCCCCAGATACATCAAAAAGCACAGACTTGTTGCAAGACAGAAAACAAAGAAACATAATCTCACTGAAGAATGTTACCTTGGCGACAGCAGCCGTGATGTGGTATCCAAGGAAACTGATTCAGAATCAGTAGATTTCGAGAAAGTTTTTGGCATACTGCATAACGCGCTAGAAATCTATGATGTATATATATATTCATAATTATATAATGAAGCAGCAGGGAGACACAGTGCCGGGACGATGAAACCATGGTCAATGACTTGTTCGCAGTCTGTCCTCCAGCGTTGGACTTAATCATTCTGTACAAAAGTCGCTCGGTCATGTCTCCATGTTTCTTTCCACTTCACACAAACCAATAGGTCTCACTTCACCGGTATCAAAAAAATCACTGAATGTTTGCAGCATTCACAAGAAATAGTCTTCACTTGGGAGAGGTGGTGTTGTCTTTTCGCCAATATATATGACCTCTCAATGTCACGACCTGTGTTTTGACCTCTATAGGTCACAAAGCTGGGGAAAAAATGCACTTGACCTTGCTTTGACCTCTAAGGTCATGACAACGACCTGACCTCTACAGGTCACAAGCTGGGTGAAAAACTGCACTTGACCTTGCTTTGACCTCTGAGGTCACAACAATGACCCTGACCTTGACCCCTGGAGGTGATTATCTAGGACATGCTGGAACATGGGAGTCCAGGCGATCCCATTTGCGTGAGGACTCGATCAAGCCACTGTAGAGGACCGTTCAGGTGGATTTCTATCCAACAGGGCGTGCTGGTGACTGTCTGGCGTCTGAAAGGAAAACCAGTAAACTTTAGTCTGCAGCATGCTGACAGGTGAGGTGAGGTGAAATGGGGTTTAACGTCGCGTCCAAGATTATTGCACTTACATAGCGACATGCATGCACATGGGTGTGTGTGTGTGGCTGCTTGTACTAGTCCGGACTGATGCCGATTTATAGTGCTAGCTCACTGAGATACCATGCCGCAGCTCAACATGAATACCCCACTCAGACACAGTATACTGACTCCGAGCTGACCAGTCCTTGTTTTAGCCCCTTAATGCCGAGCGACAGACATGGTGACAAAAAGTACCATCTCTTAACGTCTTTTGGTATGATGCCGTCGGGGATCGAACCCCAGACTTTCCGCTCTCCCTGGGCGAACGCTCTACCACTAGACCACGGAGGCAGTCAACATGCTGACAAAAATGGCCCAGTTATTGGCAAATTGGACAATTTCAATAACATTGCAGAATATTTCTATCAGGGTGTTCTGTAGGGCTGGGGCTGGGACGGGTAACTCGGGTACTCGGGTCGGGTGGATCCTGAGTAGGACCCGGGTACCCACAGGACAGTTTGCACCTATCCCCTGAGACCTACAGCGGGTACCCGGGTAGGGTCGGGTAATAGAGGGGTGGGTACTCGGGTAGTAAATTTGGATTCGTCCCAGCCCTAGTACCCTGGCGATGAAAGTGTGATGTCTAGAACAAGCGTGAGTTAAA